GTTGAGAAAATTGAGATCTGGAGAGTTTATGTAATTTATCCAAACGTACATAGCTACAGGGTGACAGAACCGATACCCAAATCCTCCAGTTTTAAAGTCTTGTAGCCGGACCTCCACCTGATCTCCCTGCTTTGTTAATTTATGCTAGAGTGTTCAGTCAATGTGCAATTGAGAGGATTGTTTATTATTCTACGCGAGTTCATTCTCTTCTTTAATCAAGCAAACCCAAGTTGAAATGAGAACAGGACACAGTTTCCTTTCTACTTAGCATAAATAAAAATGAAACACATGATTTTTATTTCATATCCTGAGATAGTGGGAAGACGGGAGAGCTATGTGGATCTCATATAACCATGCTAAGTTTCTCAGTCATTGCTGTATTTTGGTAAGCTTTTGTCAGAAAAGTTATTTGTATATTTTAAAAATTCAATCTGTTAGCTTGTAGACTATGTCTGAGGGAAATATGCACATGTTCTTTGGAATGGCACTTAATTTCCAAATCATCTGAATCACGCATTTTGGCATCAGCTACTGCTGTTTTTCCTCCTGATCGTCTTGGCTATAGCAGTTCTGGGTGAGACATTATTTCATATGTACTCCCTAAATTACAGACTTCTCATTTACAAACACCTGTACAGGTAAACCCTAACGTGACATTTGAATTTAAAGGGAAATTTGCATGCACATATACCATTAACAAGAATATGAAAATACTGAGATAGAAGATGTAGTATTGCTTTAGCCTTTGCATCATCAGTTCTAGTGATCTCTCTAAGATCTCTCTGTTAGAAAGATAAGAAAGTAGTTTACAACAGAAGATTCAGTCCAAGCTAGAATGAGTGATGGAACCAAGACTTTTCTCTTCCCACATGAGTGCACTAGGTGATGCTGTGGACCGTGTGCTTCTGTTTGACCATATCACCATCTTTCCTCCTCTCACTCAGGTAGCAGCTGGCAGCCATGCCCTCCCTCTCTCTTCCCTTATATCACTTCCCACCTGTCTTCAAGCACCAATTGTTTGAGAGTCTGTGAGGAGATCTCTCAGGCGCCCAAGAGATTGAGGCAAGGAGGGTTTCTTCAATGTAGAGTCAGTGCTCAGGAACTCATGTGCTTTCTAAATATACTTTGTAGTTTCTTTGCAAATATTTGTTCATTGAGTGACTCAGGGGTCCCTTTTGGTGAAGCATTTATTTAACAACTGTGCTACAGAATTGGAAGTTCCGTAAATTCTCATACACAATTGAATGAGAAAACTGCCTCAAGGTATGTTGAACCTGATTTGTGGTGCGGAGGACACAAGTAGATACATCAGTTTTTACTATAAAATGTGGTGAGCCCTATATAGAGGCATAAACATGCTGTTCAGGGAGGACAAAGTGAAGGCCACTGAGTCAAGCTTGTGGATCAAGGGGAGTTTCCCAGATGACTGGATAACTGGACTACATTTGGAAGAATGAGTGGGCATTTGCTAGAAGGTCTGCAGGGCAGAAGTAGGAAAAATGTGCTTAGGGACCTACAAATAGTTTTGAATTGACTGAAGAAGAGAGAGTGTCAGATGCTGAGATGTGATGGACAGGCAGGAGCTGGATCACAGAAGGCTTGTGTGCTAAGCATCTGATTGAAAGGCTGACTTGCATTGGCCCAGGTATGGGGGCTGCTCCAATAACTGCATTCTTTACTGGAGGCAAAGGTTAGTATTGTGACTTACTTTGCATTTTAAGCTTTGCAAAACCAAAACAGCAGCAGCAGTCACAAATGGCCTGGGCATTTGCAGAGACTGAATCGGTTTACGTAATCCCTGAGTAGGCATGTTTTGGTTTAGGCTAGATGGCAGAAGATTGTGTCACTGGGAGGCAGCCTTCTGATAATTGTGTTCCAGGAAGGCTTAGTTCCTGCTGGATAGCTGGAGGGGGCAGGGAACATCTCTGTGGCCAGAATCTCTGATTGAACGTGGAACACAAGAGCTAGAGTTTGAGGAGTTCTGTTCTGCGAGCCCTCAATTTCTTGACCAGAGGCTTTGGGCAGGGCACAATGAAGACAATTTTCAACTTTCCAGAAATGAATTTATTTCTTTACAGGGTTGCAATCATTGGGCACCCTCAGTTTGAAAATGGAAGTAGACATTGTGACTTCCCTTACTTTTGTTTGCTGACAGATAACTTTGGGCGCTGCAGCAAAGCAGCTTTTCCCATCTGGGGTGTCTGGAGATCACAGAGAAGATTCTCTTTACTCACCATGTTGTATAGTAACAGCACCCATATTTCAGCACGTGTGTCAGATCTGGGTGGAACTTGGAGGGCTTGCTGAACTCTTCAGACTACACTTGTCCTCCAGAAAGCCTTCTTTGAGGAACAATAATAGGCACGCTTGGTTTTCATACCCACTCAGAGACGACGGAGCCTGAAATACATACACGAGAAAGAACAGAAGCTTTGGAGTAGCACACACCTGGATTCAAACCTTGAATCTTCTTATTTACAAGCTATGTGAACTCAGGCAACCTGCTTTACCTCACTTAGCCCTCGTTTTGTGTCACATGTGTAAAATGGAGATGCTACCAGTCTCATGGCTGGTGAAACGTCAAGTACTTGGCCACATGAAACATATGATCTGCCAATGTTCATTTCTTCCACATTGCCCAAACTTCACAATTTCTGTGTTGTGGAAATTCTCACTATTTTTTCTAAGTTTCTGCATCAAATAAAGTGTTAATTGATTTGCTACAAGGTGTCCCTAATTTTCTAGGACACCATGAAAGAAAAAGAATCTTTTCTGTGATCCCCAGACATCCCGATGGGAAAACTACTTTGCTGCAGAGCCCAGGGTGGTCTGTCAGCAAGCAAGCATAGGGAACGTTATAAGGTCTACCTCCATTGTAAATAATTTGTCCAGTGTCATATAGTTTGATTTTTTTTTTTGAGACGGAGTTTTTAGCTCTTGTTACCTGGGCTGGAGTGCAATGGTGCGATCTCGGCTCACCGCAACTTCCGACTCCCGGGTTCAGGCAATTCTCCTGCCTCAGCCTCCCGAGTAGCTGGGATTACAGGCATGCGCCACCATGCCCAGCTAATTTTTTTTTATTTTTAGTAGAGACGGGGTTTCACCATATTGACCAGGATGGTCTCGATCTCTTGACCTCGTGATCCACCCGCCTCGGCCTCCCAAAGTGCTGGGATTACAGGCTTGAGCCACCGCGCCCGGCCTTAGTTTGATTTTTTATTAGAAAATGTGGCCACCGCATTTGCCCAAGCAAGTTATTTGCTTTAGAAAAGGGTAAGATCCTGATTCCTCATAATGTATATGATACTTACTTAGGAGGAGTCCATTTGCATGTGCATCTGTGTGTTTGTGTGTGTGTGTGTGTATGTACGTGTGTGTGTAGTAGGTATCTATAGAATTAAGGATAACCAGAGAGGTCTTCCTTTGCCTAAGACCAGTACACAAGGTAGGAAAGCTTGTGGGTTACAAAAAAATAAAACTGGGAAAACTAGAGCCAGGGCATATTAGTCTGCTCTCACACTGTTAATAAAAACATACCCAAGGTTGGGTAATTTACAAAGCAAAGAGGTTTAATTGACTCAGAGTTCCTCATGACTGGGGAGGCCTCACAATCATGGCAGAAGGCAAAGGAGGAGCAAAGTCACATCTTAAATGACAGCAGACGAGAGATCCTGTGTAGGGGAACTTCACTTTATAAAACCATCATGTCTCATGAGACTTATCACAAGAACAGCATGGGAAAGACCCACTCCCATGATTCAATTACCTCCCACTGGGTCCCTCCCATAAGACGTGGGAATTATGGGAGCTACAATTCAAGATGAGATTTGGATGGGGGCACAGCCAAACCATACCACAGGGATTTAAAATGTCGTAAACTCTACTGATGACCTCATTTCCACTTGTCATTTACGCCTTCAGAAATTGTTTCTACTTTTACTGAAATTCATTATGTTAAAGGGATGAGACTGTGTCTTTGGAGCTGAGACTCCTGACACAACATGACTTTTCTCAGCCTCGATCAGTTTAGAATAATTTTGTGATGTATGTCTACATTGGTTGGTGTCCATGGGCTTTTTAAACACAGCTGCCAGCTATACTTTGAGCTTTAAGGACTAATTATTTTATTATGAGCTACAGAAATCGATATTGTGCAGACTTTCACAAAAGTATGTTCAGACAGAGTCTTTGCAGGGATTTGGCTTTGAAATCCAGATGTCCCTTGTTGATTGTGGTATGTGGTATAGGCTACCAAATAGAATAAGAGGGCTGCAAGTGGCATGTTCATGGGACTATGAAGTCACTTTAATGATATTCCTCTTCCTTAAGCAATGTGGCATAACCAGAGACTTCTGGAAAAATCACTATAGTCGGGATGGCAGCAGCAAGCAACAGGGTGCTGGCACTTATTCAGAAAACTCAAAAGACCTGAGAGAAAAATCCTAGTTTGGGCCAGATGGAAAGGAGAAGGAGGAGCTCAGAGGTTGAATCAGATTGATTTCTGTTGAGGCAGGTTTGATACAATCTCTTTGTTATAGTACAGGCAGTTTGTGCATTCAGGCTTGTGGGTAGGATGACACTGCCGTTCACCTCCCTCTCTTCCTCCATCCCCACTTTTTTTTACAGTGGGAATTCTTAGCTGTGTTTCTGAATTAGATTTGGATGGAAGGAATGGAAGCAGCTTGCTTATGTAATAATAAGAGACAATCTCTCATCCCTTTATCAGCTCTGAAGAAGGGAGTCCTTGTGTAGGTTGTCATATGTAGTAGTATTCTAGTCTCAGGTTTACCACTCAGAAGCCATCATTCTCAGCAAACTGACACAAGAACAGAAAAGCAAACACTGCATGTTCTCACTCATAAGTGGGTGTTGAGCAATGAGAACACAAGGACACAGGGAGGGGAACATCACACACCGGGGCCTGGGGGGTGGGGGGCTAGGGGAGGAATGGCAGGGGGTGGGGGTTTGGGGATAGATAGCATTAGGAGAACTACCTAATATAGATGATGGGATGATGGATGCAGCAAACCACCACCATAGCACGTGTATACCTGTGTAACTTGCACAATCTGCCCATATATAATAAAGTATATATATTTAAAAAAGAAGCAGTATGAAATTGTCCAAGTCACTTAGTTCCCTTTTCACCAGCAAAATGATCCGTAAATGCTGTTTCCATCTCAGTGCTTCTCTGACTTTTTGTGTAGCAGAATGTTACAGAATTGGTGAAGTTTTATTGAAAAGGATGGAGGTGACTTGGGATAAAGGCTGCGAGAATGGAAGTGACTTAACGAAGAACCCTTGAAAAAATGATTACCTTGTAGATAATGCAGCAAGAAGTTGGCAGAATATAATAAGTGTTGAATTCAAAAGGATATGATTAATAAACACAGGAATTTGATTACATGCCCGGCTCTCATTTTGAGGTTATTATTAGCACTCATGATGGACTTTCAAAAATAAGGGACGTGATTGATCATGATTGGTCATTTTTATGCTTATAACTCTGTACCTTTAAAACTAGGTATGTATTTGTGGATAAGAAGTGGGGGAAAAGTGGGGCACGTAACCTGAAGACAGTGTTCCCCAGGGGTATTCTCAACTACTGTACGACAATCAGGAGTCCAGCCCTGCAGGGAGAGACCAACCAAGACAAATAAAGAGCTTCATTGCAAACATTTATTACTTGAAAACAGTTCTAATATACTCTTTGAAGGCACTAACTCTGGAGTCTAACTTCTTGGGTTTGAAACCTGGCTTTGCTGATAGTAGCATGTCACCACAGACAAGCTACTTAACCTCTCTGTAAGTCAGTTTCCTCAAATGTAAAATTGAGACATTAGTAATTCTACTTCAGAAAGTTATTGTGAGAATTAAATGAGTAAATGTAATGTATCTACGGCAGACTCTTGTTTCCAAGAAGATGGAGTAGACATAGCTTCCCCATTAGATCCTCTGATTACAATAAAAAACTCGTAGGAAGACTATGAAAGACAAAGAGAAGAAGGCAGGTTAGCTAGGGACTCGGGACATGAGGAATAACATGCTAATGAGTCCCCTGTGCTTTTTTCCACTCATATCCCAAATTTGAAGTAGAAGAAACTAACGACCCAGCAAGGCCAATGGGCACAGACAAGACAAGTCCCCAACAAAAGCCTTATCTCTCTAGTCAAAGCCCTGGGCAAAGGGCAGCATGGAAAGACAGAAACTTTTAGATAATCATCACTTTACTCCAGCCAAACACCACAGAAAAAAACTATGGCCTCAGTCCCATCCATATCAGCAACGGCTGAATGGGGAGGCTAGACTTCTACCTTCACAAGCTATAATGGGGTCCTGCAGCACTCTCACTAGGGTGACGTCAGAGAGGCCAAGTGGGGAGCTGGGACTTTTGTTCCTGTCACTGGTATTGACACTTCCTTCACTAGCCCACCACAATGTCAGTAGAGATGATATCTGGGCTTGAACCTCCACCTGACAGTAGCAAGGTGCCCCTTTCTCTCCCTGCTGGGGTGTGGTCAGAGAAAAGTCAGGACTTTCACCACTGTTCTTGGGGTCTTACTTAGTGGAGAGTTAGAGCTTTAACCGTTGCCCAGGTGAAGGAGGACATTGCCACTGTGGTGTCATTGGACACCAGGTGGGGAACCAGAACAGCCACCACCGCCAAACAGTCCCCCGACTCCCAAGTGGTGTTGGAGGTCATGTTGCAAAACTAGACTTCTGCCTCCAACTGGTAGTCATGGTTTGGTTCTTTCTTCTCTTCCTTGCCAAAGAAGTATTAGAAAAGCCAACTAATTCATAAGATTTAAATAAGTTTCAAAGTTTCATGACAGATGACCAAGAAAAGTGTGGTTTTCACCTGAACATCACTCATACGGAGGGCAAGGAGAATCTCAAAAAGAATGAGAAAAGACCATCAGTAGATGCCAACACCAAGATGAACAACGATGGTAAAATTATGATAAAGATTTTAAAGCAGATGAAAAATATGAGTCAATAAGCAATGCAAACACACTTGAAACAAAAGAGAAAAAAGAAAGCCTCAGCTGAGAAATACAGAGTCTTATCAAAGAAATGTAAGATACAAAAAAGAACCAAATATAAATTTAAGAACTAAAAAATGCAATAACTGAAGGAAAAGCTTGGTGGATTGGCTCATCAGTGGAATGAAGAAGGCACAGGAAAGAATTGGTGAACTGGAAGATAAAGCAATAGAAGTTACCCAATCTGAAAAACAAGAAATAGACTAAAATTAAATGAATAGACTCAGGGATCTATGGGACTATGATGAAAGATCTAACGTTTATGTCACTAGAGTCCTGTAAGGAAGAAAATAAAGAGGTTGGAGAGAAAAACGCTCAAAGAAATAATGACTGAAAAATTTACAAATTTGGCAAAAGACTTAAACCTATAGATTCAAGAAACTGAGTGAACTTGACACAGAATAAACCCAACGAAATTCATCTGAAACACACCATAATTAAACTTACCACTATTAAAGAAAAAGATCTTAAAAACGTTCATTAAAAAGTGACATCTTACCTACTAGAGGAAAAATTAGATTTTTCATCAGAAACACTGGAAGCCAGAAGAAAATGACACATTTTTAAGTGTTAAAAGAGAAGAAAAATGACAACTCAGAAAACTATATCCAGGCAAAAATGTTATTTAGGAATGAAAGAGGAATCAAGACATTCTCAAATGGAGGAAAACTGAGAATATTGCCAGGAGACCTGCTGTAAGAGAATGGCTGAATGAAATTCTCTAAACAGAAAAAAAAAAAAATGATGGACGACAGAACCCTGGAACATGAAAAAGGGAACAAAGAATATGGTAAGTGAAAGTGTGCTTAATACAATAACCTTTCCTTCTCCTCTTGAGTTTTCTACATATGTTTGACAGTTGAAGCAAAAACTACAGCACTGTCTGATGTGGCTCTAAATGTATGTAAAGTAAATATTTAAGACAGCTATATTATAAAAAGGACAGGATAAAAGGACATAAAGGGAGGTCAGATTACTGTACTTCACTTAGACTTGTAAAATGATGACACTAATAGATTGTCATAAATTATGTGTATATAATGTAAAAACTAAAGCAACAGTACTACTTCTGTGAGGAACTGACTTCAAATATAATGATAAGCACAAAGGAAGTGAGGATGGAAAATGAAATTTTATACACGTTAATTAAAGGAAACAAAGGAGTTGTTTAGAAAGCTAAAGAGGAAAAATCTCATGATCATATCAATCAATGTATGCAAAAGCATTTGTTAAAATTGAACACCCATTTATTGTAAAAACTCTCAAGAAACTGGAATAGAAGTGAAACTTCTTCAACTTAATAAAGAACATTTACAGAAGTGCTATAGCTAGCATTATTATTAATGGTGAAAGACTGAATGCTTTCCCCCTCATGTCGGGAACAAGGCAAATATATTCATTTTTACCACTCTTACTCAACAGAGTACTTGAGGTTTTAGCCAGTATAATAAAGTAAGAAAGAGAAAGGACACATTTAGATCAAAAAGGAAGAGATCCTTATTTGCAGATGACGTGATTCTCTATGTAGAACATTCCAAGAAATGTTTAAAAAAACCCTTAGAACTAAAGAATGAGTCCAGCAAGGTCACAGAATACAAGACACACACCCAAACATTAATTTTATTTTTATATTATAGTAATGAATGTGAGGACACCAAAATTAAAGATACGACACCTCTTATAATTGCTGAAGTTAAAAGTGAAATGTTAGTTATATATCTAACAAAACATATGGAAGACTTTTATACTAGAACTGTATAGTGGTGATCAAAGAAATAAAAAAAAACCTAAATTCGTGAAGAGACATGCCATGTTCATGGATTGGATGAGAACATGGTAATGCTGGCAGTTCTCGCAAAGCTGACCTATAGGTTTAATGCCATTCCTACCAAAATCCTAGGAAGATTTGTTGTATATGTAGAGAAGAGTATTTTAAAATTTACAGTGAAAGACAGAGGAAATAGACTAGCTAAATTATTTCAGAACACAAAAATAAAGTTGAAAGAATCAGTCTTTTCAATTTCAAGACTTATTCTATTAGCTGGTATTGGCAGAGGCACAGATCAATGGACTTGAATAAAGTAACCAAAAACAGACTCAGGCAAATATTATCAACTAGTATTTGACAAAGGTGCACAAGAAATTTGATGGAAGAAAGAATCTGTTCAACAAATGGTGCTGGAGCAATTGGACGTCCATGGACAAGAATAAACTTCAACCTTTTATAAGTCTCACATCTTACACAAAAATTAAATGAAATGGATCATGAACTTAAATATAAAATGTGAAACTATAAAACTTTTAGAAAATAAATGAAGGTGAAGGGACATTTCACCTAAAAGAACAGATGACAAATAAATACATGAAAATATGTTCAACATCATTAGTCATTAGGGAAATGAAAGATAAACCAGCAATAAGAAATCACTCCACACTTATCAGAATGGTCAAAAAACAATAATAATAAAATCGTGACAACAGCAAATACTGGGGAGGATACAGAGAAACCAGATCACTCATACGTTGTTAGTGAGAATCTAAAGTGGTAGAGGTACTCTGGAAAATACAGTTGAACCTTAAAGAACAGGGACTGAGGTGCTGACCCCCTACCAGTTGAAAATATATGTTTGTTCATTGCAGCATTATTCACAATAGCAAAGACATGGAATAAATGTGGTTGCCCATGAACAGTGGGTTAATAAAGAAAATGTGGAACAAATATACTGTGGAATACTGTGCAGCCATAAAAAAGAATGAAATCATGTCTTTTTTTAGCAACATGGATGCAGCTGGAGGCCATTATCCTCAGCAAATTAATGCAGGAACGGAAAACAAAACAGTGCATATTCTCCCTTGCAAGTGGGAGCTAAACATTGTGTACACGTGGATTTAACGACGGGAACGACAGACTCTGGGCACTGGGGACCTCTAGGGAAGGAGGATGGGAGAGAGACGTGGGTGGAAAATCTCTCTACTGGGTGCTGTGCTCACGACTTGGGTCACAGGATCATTCGTACACCAGACCTCAGCGCACATAATTTATCCGTGTAATAAACCTGCACATGTACTCCCTGAGGGAATGCAAAAGAAAATACAAGTATTGACTCACAAAACTTAACTATTAATGGACCAGAAGTTTTACTGATAACATAAGTAGTTGAATGTTTAACTAAATATATGGATATTGAACTAAATATATAAATATATGGAGAGATGTGCCATGGTGACGGCCTGGATGAGAACATAGTGATGCTGTCAGTTCTCGCCAAGCTGACTTATAAGTTAAATGCGATTCATGACATAAATAGTTGATTAAAGCATATTTTGTATATATATAATATATATTATATTCTTAAAGTAAGCTAGAGAAAAGAAAATGTTAGTAAGAAAATCTTAAGAAAAAGTACATAACTGTATGTACTTTTCTTAAAAGTACAAAAGTGCCATACCATATATATCAGTGCCTTAAGTTTACATTGGCTGTTCACAGGATGAATTGTCTGTCTGAAATGGTGCACAGCTGCAGCTGCAGGCCTCAATCTATGGTCCATGTCAAGCAACTCAAATTTTTCTTGTCATGTCATGACTTGTCTCTGCTTCTTGGGAGCACTTCCAGCATCACTAATGATATTTTGTGTGAGTCCCATGGTGTTATTCAAGGTTTACACATTGCAGTAAACATGATGAAAAATACACAAGAACCAGAAAATAGCACTTTTTGCTGTGAGAGGCAGTTTACTGGAGAGATGAACTGCGTGTGTGAGGCTGAATCGTGTTTTAAGTGGATACTCACAACACGAGCTCACCACAGTAGCAACAGAAAGTGGCTACACGGTTATCACAGTGGTACAGTATGTAGTACAGTTAGTTTTATGCAATTATAATTTAATACTGCATCTTTAAGTTTGTTTACTGAACATGGCACCACATACCATCTGTAAGTGTTTGTATGGGTAAGTTCTGATAAATTTTAACTTTTATGATAGAGTTGTGTATATTTTATGCTAAGTAGGGATAAAATAGACTGGTATCTACATGTATTTTATGCATTTATGACGTACCTAATCACATAGTCAAGAAATACCAAAAAAATTAAGAAAATTTTTTTGGTATTTCTAGGCTATGTGATTCATCTGTGAGTTTTCAAATTGTCACAAATCTCTAATAAACTTTGCTGTATATTTATTGGAAAAAATATGTATATTAGTGGACCTGAATAGTTTAAATCCTTGTGTTTCAAGGGTCAACTGTAGTTTGACAGTTTCTTAGAAAAGTGAACGTACAACTGTCATTTTGTCCTCCCAGCATTTGTGCTCCTAGGCATTTATCCCAGAGAACTGAAGACGTAGATCCACAGAAAAAGTTGCACATATGCCAGGTGCAGTGGCTCATGCCTGTAATCCCTCCCAGCACTTTGGGAAGCTGAGGCAGGAAGATTCTTTGACTCCAGGAGTTCAAGACCAGCCTGGGAAACATAGTGAAATTCTGTCTCTATCAAAGAAGAAAAAGCCAAGCATGGTGGTGTATACCTGTGGTCCTGGCTGCTCAGGAGGCTGAGGCAGGAGGATCGCTTTAGCTTGGGAGGTCCAGGCTGCAGTGACCTGTAATCGCATCATTGCACTGCAGTATGGTGACAGCAAGACCCTGTCTCAAAAACAAAAAAAACCCAAAAGCTTGTACAGCTTTATTATGTGTGGCAGCTTTATTGGCAGTAGTTCTGTGTTCATTTGCTAGAACTACTGTAAACAAAGTACAGCAGACTGGGTACCTTAATTAACAGAAATGTATTGCAGTTTTGGAGACTAGAAGTCTGTGATTGAGGTATCAGCAGGACTGTTTCTTTCTGAGGCCATGAGGAAGAATGTGTCCCATGCCTGTCTTCTGGTTTCTGGAGGGGTTCCGGCAATCACTGGCATTCCTTGGCTTGTAGATGCAGCACCCTGATCTCTGCCTTCGTTTTCATATGGCATTTTCCCTGTGTATTCATCTGTGTCCAAATTTCCCCTTTTTATATGGACGCCAGTCACATTGGATTGGGGGTGCACCCAACTATAGTATGATGTAATCACAACTAATTCTAGAAGCAACAACTCTATTTCCAAATGAGGTCATGCTCTGAGGTGATCTCTCAGATAAACTGGGAATCAGGACCTCAACACATAAATTCTTGGCACACAACTTAACCCACAACAAACCTCAAACTGGAAAGAACCCAGATATCCTTCCACAGGGGATTGGTTAAACACATTGTGACACCTCCATCCCGTAGATTAACACACAGCCACAAAAAGGGATAAACTGTTGATACACACAGGAACCTGGGTGAATCTCTAAAAAACTGGGCTGAGTAAAAAAACTAATCTCAAAAGTTTATGTATCATATAATTCTCTATTTATGTAAAATTCCTGAAATTACAAAATTATAGAAATGGAGAACATTAGTGGTTTTTAGGACTGATGTGGGGGATGAAATAGAGGAAGGTGGACGTGGTGGTAAAAAGGGCAGTAAATGGGATCTTCACAGCAGTGGAAAAGTTGTGTCATTGCCAGTCTCAGCATCTGGGTTGTGATAGTTTACTGTACTTTTGCAAGATGTTTCCATTGGAAGAGGTTGGCTAGAGTACGAGGGCTCTCGCTGTGTCATGTCTTATGACTGCATGCCAATCTATAGTTATGGCAGAATAAAGTTTTAATACAAAAAATACCCACTACAGAGGTACATAATACATAGCTAAGTGCTCAGCAGATGTTATTATTATGTTTGTTAGAAGACCATTTTTGTCATACAGTTTCAACACTGAGCGTGTTTACACATAATACATTTGTTCTTTACCTTCCCTCAAGGACCATAAAAACAGCAGGAAAATCAAGGGGAACCAACACTCATTTTTCACTGTAACTGAGTTCTGCCCTTCTTTCTGAGGCCTAAATGATGCTGTAAGAGCTCTCTTGGATACTGAAAGAAGTAAACTCTTCTTTTCTAATTTTTTTCCATGTTCTCCAGTGTATTACTGTGCTCAGTTGTATTATGAAGGAGTTATGAGATCTTGTACCTTTTACACTGCCTATTGTCTTCACTGGTGAAGGAACCACTTGACATGGGCACTTAACTATGGGGAAGGTGTGTATATGGGTGGAAGTCCCCAGATGAATAGTTGTGGTATATGTTCCTTTTATGGTGGAGTAAAGGGATGCTGCGCCCATTCTTATCTTCAGAAAATAAGGAGATTAGAAACAGGAAACATGAGATTCATTTGCCGTGGAACTAGAAGGCGTGTGCCATCCCAAACGTCAATGTCTGAACAAGAGTGTACAAGCGCAGTGAAAGAAATCACAAGGAGGTATGCAGAGATGTCGAGTCAGGATGCGCCCCATGGCAGTTCATAGACAAAGCCAGCAGAACTCAGATCTTTAATGCTGGTGGCACAACCAGAGGGGCAAAACGGTTGTTGGGAGCAGTGTGAGGTGCATGGGCTGGTGGAAAGGGGATACTCAGTGGATGTGGGTGAATGAGAAATGACAGGGTCATGCTGTAGTTGTGAGCTCAGTGGTGAAAGAGGATCTGCCCTTGAACATCCTGTCTCAGCCCAACTCTGCACCACAAAGAACCTCACTAACAACCTGTAAATGGCTGCTCCTGAAACAGCTCACTCCCTGCAAAGACAGTGATGAATTGAGTGGTAGGGCAGGGTGAGGAGAACAAAGAACGGGTTCTGCAGGGAAGTACTGTAGAAAGGATTTGAAAAACCAAAAACAAATGGCAGACAGAGAACGTGCACCTAAAAAACTTCTCAATGCAAAATATCTGTGTTTAAAATAGTGGTTTATGTTCATTTTTCAAAGAAAGCAATAATTTCCAGAAAACAAGAGCTTAAACCCTGCATATAAAAGGTCATGGAAGATGTGGCGAAGAAATGGAAGAAGATGAAACATGAGCTGATCAAGCTCAGGCAATAAGTAGAAGAAAAAAATGCAATCATCAATTATAAAGTCCTGTTTGGAAGTGACCCAATGAAAATGAAAGGTCATTGAAAATGTGGTGGGCAGTATTGCTGTGACAGTGTTGAGAACAGCAAGCAAAACAAAGACAGCTTGAGCAAAGGGTAAAAATGGTTTTTTCAGTGGTGAATATGGAAGACAAAGGAATCAACAAACAGATATTTGCTATTCCTGCAGAAGAAAATCAAATAACAAAATGAGAAAAAAACTGAAAATACAACTCATCAAAACTTTTCAGAACAAAAAGCTTCGTTAAAGGCTTCACATAAATGACTAAATCTCTTTCAGAGTCATTGATAGGTTTTGCCTCAGCTACTAGACCTCTACTAAACAAGTGCATCCTTCTTTTACTGGTTTGATTTCTTCGGTTGCTGTATCTCTTTGAGTAACGTACATACAAGTGGAGGTTAGAGATGAGGGCACAATTGCAGCTAAAATATTCCCTGGGTTGGCGATGCTTGTTCATAGTGCATGCTTGGTTTTGAGTGCTGAAAAATGTTTACACAGTGATCAAAATACGGACATATATTGCAGTAAATTTACTTCAAAGCTTGAAAAAAATAATTCATTGGTCATAACAAGATGAAAAAGATGAGCCCCACCTTCGGTATTTCAACAGGATTATGTAGAGTGGAAATAGAAGAAATGGGAGCAATGCATACAATAGGAGAGTACACAGCTATTTTAAAAATGTAGCAACTCTAACAGGAATGGTATGGAATGTATTTTAAGTAAAAAACAGTAGGATGCTGTTTTAGATGTGTATCTTAGGACGTATTTTAAAAACTGATGATAGAGATTGTCTCTGGACAGAGGTACGAAGGGTACCTGAATCAATCAGTCAATTTTTTTCTCTCTCCCTCTCTCTCTGTCTCTTTTTAAAACTGTCACCTATACTATTAAGATTAAAAAGATGAATAGAAATAAAGTAGACTTGTTTATTCAAGATATCTTCTTTACCAGAGCCTGGGTTCACCATTAGGGTTGCTCTCTGATTTTATTCACTGCTTTGTATTTTAAGATGTAAATACTGTATGCCAGGTAGTCAATGTTAAGTCCCTTGGGAGAGAAGGAACATTACATTCTTTTGTTTGTCTTCGAAATACTTTTATCAGAGAAGATGCTCAATACACACTGCTTCTCTGGACATTGACTAAGCTGAAATGAACCGACAACAGAGGATGCTTGCCGTGATTCATACTGAGTATGCAAATCGTAGCAGATTGTCATGGTTGCTCCTTAAGCCCGTTTTAGCAAAATGAAACAGGGAATTGAGAATTGGAAATAAAACTATGACTTCTAAGTCATTTCCTACTCTTCTTTAAGAACTGTATTTTTTCTTATTGGCTAGAAAGCTACATCTCTGCCTGTGAATGGTTGTCTAGAATCATATTAACCTCTTGGGCTTTATCAAGAGCGAAATGTACTAATGGCAAGAGTTGCTCCATGTCTGTTGTGTTTAGGCTGAACCCTTGATACAATATTTTGACCATTAATCTTTATTAGGACATTGGACAAATGTGGTCCCAAGGTTATTCTGAGCTCTGATCCATTCTGAGCTGAGCTGATCTCTTAAAGTCTGACTCATACTTCAGTTATTTCCAGCTTCTTTAGGACAAAGCTCACCGTAACCTCTATGTTGCCGCTGCCAGCACAAGAGTTAAGAAAAAAGAAAAAAGCCTTAATAGGAGGCAGGTGATAAATATAATTGGATGCCCTTAGTATCTCTGATACAATCACACAGCCCTCTCATCTGTTAGCGTGGCACTTTACAGCTGTGATTTAACCCACATAAGCCTGTATAAGGCACCTACTTAGATTCATTAAAAGCTCCAAATAAATGCCTAAATTTTTATCAGAATTATTGGTAGGTTTTGGCTCAGCTGTTAGACCTCTACTTAACAAATACATCTTTCTTTTACTGGTTTGATTTCTTTGGTTGCTGTATCTCTTTTGACTAATGTCCATACAGGTCATGGTTAGAGATGAGTGAATAGTTGTAGCTAAAGTGTCTCCTGGAATGGTGATGCTCGCAGCATACCTTGTTGAAAAGCTTTGTTTGATTCTCTCCCAGTTGTTCAAAATAGAGCTCTGTGGAATCATTAGCAAAAAAAAATTCCTGACATGCTTATGTGTATAAATATCCTGCCTGCTCTTAACTCCTGTTTTCTCATCTGGGGGCCACTGGTAAAGATCTACCACTTGATCTTAATTGCTATGAGAGAGAGAAAGATGCTCTCAAGGGTCACTGAAGTTTCCTACCATAGAGGATTTTAAAGAATCATTTCATAGGAGCCTACCATGGGATGCAAAAAGGAAGCCAGCATACTCCCAAGGCGACCAAGTCTAGGAATGTCTAAACAAGTATCCTGTGAGGGGTGTGCTATCGTGTGTATTTTTATGGATGAAAATGACTCATTGCACAGACTGTTCCTACTAAATATTACCTTTCCTTGGAGTGAAAAAATAGACAACTTTCTTAGCTCATAATCTAAATTAGTAGGTATTCCACAATGTTTTATCAGTGTCAGGTCAAAGCATTATTGCTGGACCGTGGCTATTAATATGTGGCTGTGGTCACATCTGAAGTGTTTTCTTAATAATCCACGTTCCCCCCAACCAGAGCTGAATGGGGGTCGGTCATTCAGTCTATATAGGGAGGGATGTCGCAAAACTTGCTCTGCTGAGCCGGCCTGGCTTGCTTGTGGTGTGTGATGCCATGTGTACAGTCATAGCACACTGGCTGTTCTGACCCCTGTTCCTCATTTCTGTCAGTAAAACCAAGTAGCGATTCAGATAATGCAGAAGCATGTTTACTCTGCCAAAGTTAATTTGAATAATCAGTCCATCCTGGGTAAGCAAGTATCTCCTCAGCACTCCCTTCATGATGTTATCTGAAAGCACATATTTAAAAGGGAGATGATACTGACAAGTCAGTCTAATTTCTCAGCCTAATATGAACCAGGGAAAACCTAGACTTACAGTTTTCCATAGTCAATCATGAGATTGGGAGGAAATACTGAGTGTAACCACAGGGCATTTCCATGGGCAGTAATGAAGTTTTACTACTAATATAATTGTATTTGTTTTAAACCTGGAAAAGTCATGAATAATGAACCAGTTATATCTTCCATGAAAAATTTTTTAAACTTAATTTGTGTGTTTTCCACTTAAATACATTAGTTTACTTTTCCTGCCTCCGCTAATGTCACAATTATATCTGCATAGATTATATTATTTTTTTCTTCATCTGCATAGATTATATTATTTTTTTCTTCATCTGCACAGTCCAGACAGACATCAGTATTATAAGAGCATAATAAAAATAATATTTTAGTTCCATGTACATAGTTGTGTTCCAGTGGCAGCATTATTATAAATGACTTTTAAAGTTCTGTTATTTGTGTACTCTTTGGCTCTTCAAAAATTCTGAGCATATTTAGGTTTAACTAATCTTTTTCCAGGTAGGTGTCTGATTAATAATACCAATTAGGTGTCTAGTTAATACCACTGTTCTCTTTTTACATATCCAACAAAAAATGTATTGAGTCACTACCAAGTACTGGTACCAGTGCAGATGATGAAAAAGATGTGGTGGGAACTTTTCTATCTGGATAGATGCAGGAAGTTACAAGAGACTATCACTTTCATTCTAACCTTAATATCAAGCCAGACACTCTGCAGTATTCTAATGTTTCAAGCCCATCAGAGCTGAGTATGCAAAGAGAGACACACAATTAACTAAAATCCAGAAAGTAGCAAGACATTTCCATGAGAGAAGAGATCCACAGCTGCTTTTCTTCCTGGTGAATTAATAGAAGAAAAATATTCCACAGACAAAGAGAGGTAAGGAGAAAGCAGCCCAACTTTTGGCGGCTGCATGTGAGCTGGCAGGAAGGATTAGAATCTCAAGGAGCTCCAGACACAAAAAAATCTTCATCTGCCTGCCCACTCTTTTCCAGGGACCTTCACCAAATGCACAGGGGTACAGTGCCAAATGATGGCATCAGAACAGGTTTGCTGAACTGATTTACCCTGATATATGAGGGACATTTGTTTTTAAGGACAAGGCAAAAGGCTACTGAAGACTAGGAATAGAGCAGGAGAGAAGAAAGAAATCCCTCTGAGGTGTTTTAGGCCTTCACTAAGTACACTGCAGAAGTCATATGAAGGCTAGTAGCTGGGCAGGAAAGCTGAGAATAATTCCACCAAAGTGATATTGGTCTTCACAGAATACACCATAGAGAACCTAAAGGCTGGCAGTCAGACAGTAATGCTCAGAGAGAGCACTACTTTGGAGGAACACAAAGCTAGAAGTGGTACTGGACCAAAACAAAAACACCTCCCTGATAACCCCATCTCCCTCAAAAAAAAGCTAATAGATGGACTGACAAGGAGATAGAGATTTTCAGAGCTTAGAAATTTGGTGGCTGGGCTGTTAAGGAGAACAGTATTTTCAGAGTCTTGACAATATGCAGATACCCAATCTTGCTTAAGAGAAAGTCCTATCATGTCTTCAAACTTACAGCTAGTGGTCAACTGAATCTAGCCAAAGCTAGACTAAGTTCAGACCCATATCAGCTGCAGATTAGCTAACTCAACCCTGAGAGAAGAAAGATTGTATCCTTTTGGGGAGTTCATTATTATTTACTTTAGTCTGTTATAATATTTTACCTACAATATCTGAACCACAATAAAAATTGATGTATTATGTGAAAAAACATAAAGTCAAGAGAGAAAATAGTCAACAGAAGCAGACCAGACCTGGACCAGCTGGGGGAATTATTGGACAGATTACACACAGACATACACAGAAACACACACACACACACACACACACACACACACACACACACACACACAAAATATATGTTAAAGGATCAGCAGAAAATGGATGATAAAAACATAAAAAGGTAAAGGAAATCCTAAGATAGAAATGATAAAGGATCAAATAGCTGTGTGGGAAATAAAAAGCATAATATCAGAAATAGACAATTTTTTTTTGATGGGCTTAATAGCAAACATGACATAGCAGAGGGAGGGAGTAGTAAATTTGAACAAGTGAATGGAAATTATCCAAATTGTAAAATAGAAAAAGATGAAAAGATGAAATAGGCTACTTGAGACTTGAGGACAGTACCAAATGATCTAAATAATTAGGTAACTGGAGTCTAGAGGAGAGGAGAATGGAGATGAGAATAAAGAAGTATTTGAAGAGATAGTGCCTAAGAACTTAAAAATTTCAACCACTGGAAAACAGCCAGAGAGAGACTGGATACAGATGATGTTATGACCTTCTTTTCAGATTGGCTGTTCAAGGAAAGCCCATATGAAATGCCATAATTTGAGCAGAAATCAAAGGCCACGATAAAATATAGTTGAAGGCACTTTAGGCTGAATAAACAAGTGTAAAAGCCCTAAATTGGTAGTAATCCTGGCATGTTTGAGGACAGCAGGAAGCTGGGGAGGGAGAAGATGTAGGAAATAATTTGGGGAGGTCAGCAGGAGTGAGATCATATGTGACCTTGGGTAGGCCATTATAAGAAGTTCTAGTAGTCAGGCTTCTCCAGAGAAACAGAACCAATAGTGTGTACACACACACACACACCTCTCTCTCTCTCTAAAGAATTGGCTTATGTGATCGTGGAGGTTGAGAAGTCCTGTAATCTGCCATCAGCAAGCTGGAGGCCAGGAAAGTTGGTGGTGTAATTAGTCTGATTCCAAAGTCCTGAGAACCAGAAACGATGCTGGTGTAAATCCCACTTCAAGGCCAGTGTCCTAGCTCAAGCACTCCAGCAGAGAGAGAATCCTTACTTCTTCCTTCTTTCTGTTCTGTTTGGGCCCTCAACAGGTTGGATAAACCTCATCCACAGTCGAGGGACTGCTTTACTCCATCCATCCAAATGCCAGTTTCTTCCAGAAAGCCCCTCACAGACACACACAAAAATAATGTTTAGCCAGATACCTGGGCACTCCTGTGAAACAGTCACATTGACACTTAAAATGAATTGTCAAGTGTTGGGCAAAGCCAGCTATGGGAAGCCACTGGAGAGCTGTCATGCATTTAATGGGACTTGTTTGAACTATGGAGCATCCAGATCAATTTTCAAATTTGAATTCCTATTCTAGAAAAATTTTGAGACATAAAAATTTCAATTCAGTACGGATTTTTTTTTACTGGTCCTCATGTGACATCAGTCTCCCCCATCAAGTAGGTCAGGACACTCGGAGGTCATTCTTGGGTGAGGATCATAATACATAATACTTTAAAGTTGCTAAGATCTGTTCAAGATTTTGAACATTTTAGCTCCACATTATAAGGAGACATTTTAGCCACGCAAGTTACCACCAATAGAAAATACTAAGGTTCACTTTCACACAGATCAGAAATGGTGAATGCTTTAGTCACTGCAGCAATACTTAAAGTAGGAGCAATGCAGAAGTTAAAAGGGAAGTGATGTGTCTGCACAGGGAGTTTTATTTCTGTGGACACTGCTTCATAGTCACTCTGCATGTCAGCTCCTCTGTGTTTCTCATGACACAGGGCAACAACCTCCCCTGGAAAGAGAAAAGAAAACTTACTAGAGCTCCAACTAGGGCTTATTTCCTTTAAACTAAGACAAACACTTGATCTCCAAATTACAAGTACAATTTCCAAGGACATCAGGATGGAGAAAACTACTTCAGTTTTTGTGTCAGCCATGGGAGTATGTCTTAAATTTCGTCTTGTTAAAAAAAGAAGTTTAAGTAAGTACATTTAGGATAAAAGTTTCATCCGTGTAGGATTTGCAGTGCAAGCAACAAAATGACCTCAAGACCATTAAAAGAGTGTAGTTCTGCATCTCAAGGTAAATGGAAGGAATGTATTTCTGTTGTTTCTTGGGTCCAATTTTAAAATACAGTGTTAGGCAGGCCAAGGGCATGAGCTTGCTTGTGTTCTAGACCAAGAACCCCACTCTACCTGGCTTAACTGAAGTTCAATAGGAATTGGCCCCATGGGAGAGGAAAAGCCACTCTAAGCTTAGAATTAGTGAGAGGATCAGGGATGCAGGGGCCAACATTAATAAATGGAGCCAGTGGAGGTGGGCAGAGCTGGCACCAGGTCTGTCAGAGGGGTGAGGCTTAAGCAGAGTTCTAAAGAAAAGAGGTGGATTAACTAAGATTTTGTGATACTCCAGGTCCCTGAGTTATTTTTAGAAACAGTTATCTGTTCCTATGTGCTAACCAAATTCATTTCAGTTACCAATAGAGACACTGCCAAAAGTAATGAGGTTCAGGAAGAAAGAGCTACAGTTATTTCAGCCTCATAATGCCCTGTGTTTGCCAACCGATTTTGAGTCCACAGTCCTAAATGGCCACACTGATGTACAATGCTGAAGGACTTGCTCTTGTATTGTTCAGGCAGCAGTGTACAATTACACTTGAAAATGCATAGGTTAGGTTGTGGAAAATCAATATGTCAAATTGAGAATATCTGTGATGCATTTAAATAGAGGAAATGTATTTATGGTTCGAAGAGTAGCAGATCACCCACTCATCAGTGGAATCACCTTTCTTTCTTTTTCAATTTCTTTCCTTTTCAATTTGTCTCCTTTTTCGATTTTCCTGACTTAGTCTTTTCTCATCCCTTCTCCATGCTTTCTAAATCTTACCAGTAGCATATGGACACACAAGCTGAGTACACACTTCTGGCAATTATTCTTGGAAAACACTTTGGCAAACTGCATGATGATTGTATTACTACTCTTACCACCTGGAAGACTATTATGATAAAAACATGTGACTCGGTGGGAGGCCTTGCTCGAGGGCTCCCTGGGATGGTGGAAGGTGGGCTTGAACCCAGTACTCTTCCAGGTTTATTTTTACTTGCTGGCATGCTCTGGGTATTGCTGTAGGCATCCGCCAGGAGGCGTCTACCCACGTTTCCACAAAAGGGAGCCTTGGACTAGAGCTTTGCCACCTCCACAGTCCTCCTATCATGTTCAGCCAAGGCTTCTAGGCTGGTTACAAAAGAGATTTTTTAAAAAGAGACCCACGAGTCTGTCAACTCTTTCATACTTCTTAATCTGTTAAAACTAATCTCCTGGGAATATGAGATAGTTGGTCTGAGTTGGGAAACGAAAAAATGATACAGGTGATCAATATGACCATATTACTAATCAGAATCTTTAGAATAACTACCTAAGAAATTCATTATACACTTACCTAAACAAAGGAGGAATCACATTTGTAAAGTCACAGTACAGGTTTCTAGTTAAACACGGGGCATTGGGCATATGGTTTCTCTGTGTCCCCTTCCACAGTAAAGGCTGGTAAAAGGCATAAAAGGCAAGGTCAACAGAGAAGAGGTGAGGACTCAGGAGCAGGCTAGAGGTGTCCACACATTTTTGGAATACGTAGGGGTTGGAGGAGGATGGACTGATACAGCAGATGGACAAAGCTGAACTCAGTGCCTGCAGGTGTCATGGAGCAGCAACTGTTAGAGTCCCATAATGACACATGACTGGGGGCTCTAGGTACCACGGATAGCAAGGACAACACCGGGCAAAATTGCAGGAAGATGTTGGTATGTGGCTTTTACACCCCCACTTTCCCTCTCATATTTCCTAGCTTCAGGCAGCATCACCTACCCTTTGCTTCTGGAGGAGCTTAGAACTTTGCAACTGGAGAAACTGTTGGAAGAACTCAGGCCTCAGGGAGCACCCTGTAGGGCAGCAGCCCACCCCAGGGAACATTGGCCGACGTGTAGAGACGTTTTTCGTTGTCACAACTCAAGGGTGCTCCTGGCATGTGGTGAGTAGAGGCCAGGGATCGGCTAAATATCCTCCAGCGCAGAGAGCAGTCTCCCACAGGGCTAGAGCCCAGGATGTTGATAGTGCCGAGGGGGAGAAACCCTGTTCTAGGGTGAGGAGAGAGACAGGGCTGAATGCAGGAGAGGAAGCTGAAGTCTGCCCACCGAATCATGGAAGCCGCAGCTCTCTTCCCGCTCTGCTCCCAGAATGCTGAACAGCAGGCAGGGCTTGGGCAGCTCTTTTCCACAAGCAATCAGAAAAGTCCTCTAGACAGTGACTTTGGCTGTGTCCTAATAAAAAAGCTCTCACCGCCCAGTCATCCAACAGTAAAGTCCACAGCTTGCAAGAGCCCTAGTATGCACAGTGGTCCAGTCAGCTTTATAATGGCTTTGTTTTAAATATGAGTGACAAGAATTTTAGAAACATTTTAGAATCCGACATTTTAGAACAACCTCTAAAAGGAAAGGCATATTCTAAAATAAACCAACTGAAGTTAAATTTTCAGAAGTGTAAACAGAGGAGAATTAAAAAGTATAGAAAAAAAGAACACTTCAAAAAATATCTCTCCAAGGGTACTAACCTCAAGTTAATATCCTTGGAGAGATAACAGAAGATTCCATAGATTCTATGCTAAAGAGAGAAATCAGAGGACAGGATAGTGCTATGTGAAATTGAAAGTATGTTTGCTAAAAAAAAAATAAAAGAAGAATTTAACAACAAAGTTGAAATCGCTTCGAGAGTAAAGTAAGAGTCAAAGAAATTGTCAAGAGGAGAGAAAAGATAAGAAAATGGGAGGCGCCAACATGTGAGTGCTGGAAGTTCTATATATATATAGAGAGATAATAAGGGGGAAAAAATCAGTGGAAAACAATGCAAGAATAATTCCCCCAAACAAAGAATATGCACCTCCAGAGGGGAAGGCCTGCCAAGTAGCCAGCCCAAAAAATTGAAAAAAAGAGGAAAAAAAGGCAAATTATTATGATTTTTAGAACATCAAAGAGAAAAAATAGGTCCAAACAAAGGAATGGAAGTAGGAATGGGCTCCACCTTCTCTGCAGTGTCCTGGTACACTAGAAGGCAATGGAGTAGTCCCTTCAGAATCCTGAAGAGCAATGGAGTAATCTGGGTGCAGTCATCTAAACTGGGCTTCTATGCTTATTCAGAGCCCTCCATACAAGGAGAGGAAGAAACAAAGACATTTCAGGAAGCCAGGAGTACTAAATCTACCTTATATGCCTCCTGTTTTGAGGAAGACACTGGGGAGGGGAAGAAACAGAGAGAGATGAAGCTAGGATCCCGAAGTAAGACACTCAATCTCAGGGCACCTCTGAGGACAGGTATGGAGCAGCTGTGCACGTAGCCTGGCAAGTGCCAGTATCACCTGGAGATAAAGGCAGAGGCCTCTGGGAAAGGAAAATGAATCTGAATGATTTCTGGATTTGTGGCACTAGTAGAGTATAGGTTTTAACTCAGGCAGACCCAGATTTTACTTGCTTAATCATGGTACATACAGAAGACAAATGTCTGAATTGTAGGACTGGTCTTATAAGTACAATCCTAGATCCAGAATCTGAGGAGGTCTTATGGAAAGGAAGAGAAAGAACCTGTCTTGGTTTTGTGGTTACATTTTATATCCGACAGGAGTATGTACACTCCGTAAAATAAAACTGCTTTCTTCACTAGGTTCCTGAAGTTTCTATCCAATGTTAAACACATTTTACATGTGCCACAAATAAATGTCAGTTGAGTGAATGAATATTTCAAATATGGATCTTAGTTCTACAAAGTGTGGAAGAATACAGAAGACCTCCCAGAAGTCTTTATAAAATACATTGAGGAAAGATAATACAAATGAAATAGGCCTGGCCCCAAATGGAAAAGCTCAAGAAATGAATGTGTTCAATAGTGACTAAGAACTGGATAGAGTTTTTAAATTAAAGGAAAAAGAATGGAGAGATTTGGCCAATTATAGAGCCAAGATAATCCTGTTAAAAGCCACTTTCAAAAATTAAAGAATGGAATAAGTGTGTGATCTTGACAATAACCCAACTCCATGATCTTAGGGGGGTTAGTGAACAGATTTAATGAGGCACCCAATTATTTTGAAAATCACAAAAACCTCACATGATGCCAGAGCTATGCAGAGAAGCTGCAAAACAGTTTTAAAAATAGGTGAATAACAGTCTTGAAAATTTGGTGTTAATCCTTTTAACAATAACATGATTAAAATGAGATGAGAATGGCAAGTCGCCCTCATTCTGATATTTTTCGTGGCTCACAATTCCCTTGAGCTCTTCTAAAACTCCCTGGATAGGTCAGTTCTATTCAGCCTCTGGAAACAAGCTTGTCTTGAATATTAAAAGACAGGGAGGAGGAAAAGTGAAGTAAATACAAATTGCTCTAGTCTATTATTCATGTAACTTGAGATCAAGGTGACCTGGCTGCTAATATCTTATCCCATGATTCAATCTGAGTAATAAAAGTTGTGTTTTTTTCCTTAGATTGAGCATCCATTGACTCATTTGTATCTGCCCTCTATGGCTCAGTCTTCGTCTGGATAATTGGTCCAACTCCTTCCTTTATTTTGCTTGTCTGACCTATGCAAACCTTGGAGCCCTGTCACCAGCCCCAGCCGTCTTGCCTGGAGGCCGCATCCTATGGTTAGATATTGATCTCATAAGACTGCCCCTGGCTATCTACACCTCCTGTGGCTGCCCTTCACCTGGCTGCAGACAACCTCCGTCTGTATCTTCTTGGTCTCTGTTGCCCAGCACTCACTTGGGTACCATTGACCTTACTACTTTCTGTATACTCAGAATCCACTATGCGTTTTAAGTTGGCCTGTGAATGAGTTTGTTTTGATTGCCTTCTCTTCACCCACCTCCTTCTCTTCACCCCTCCATTGGTTGAAGGAGGGAGGGATTATGGAGATGGCCAGATAAATGGCGCCTGCTGCTGGACAGATAACATCGACAGCAGTTCATTAATCACATACATTCTCAGCCTGCAGGAGGAGACTACTGCACCAGGAGCAGCCAAATAGAGGCTGCACTTGGGAACATGGTGAACAAGCAGGGGATGTGGGAGGCAGACTTTGTAGTCACAAGGGGTTGAGGTGAACCCTGGTTCCCAGGGGATGATGTGACTGGCTTGTTTGAATAATTCCATGGGCAGGAAGGGAACTGAAGCCCGCCACTCAGAGAAAAGCAGGAACTGTGCCTGCGTGTCTCAGTAAGGAGGGTTGTTTGGCAGTGGGATCTGTGGGAGCCCTGTGGGGAAGGAAACTTGCAGTTGGGCCACTAGAGGCTCTCCTGGCTTTTCCAAGATGTCAAGGCACATATGATATTGAGGCTTAATTTCAGGCCTTCGTACCACAGCATCCTTCCTGTACTCCTGACCTATTTGTGTGTTTATGCCTACCTCATCCTCTTCTGCTCCAGCCACTGCATTTGCCTTTCCATCTCTTACTGCATCATGAGACAGAGTCAATCCGCACCCACTGCTCTGATCTACTTAGCATTAAAAGATCATGTAGCTTAATGGTAACTTTGTGATTGTTCACCTGAATAGTTCATTTCATAGCCAAGGAAGCTATGTATTTATATTTTTGAGACAGGATCTCATTCTGTTGCCATTCTAACTTATTTTGACATGTATACAAACCAACTGTTTAGAGATTCCACTTGTGGAATGCAGAGCTAGAATGCAGAGGCGCTGTCCCAGCTCACTGCACCCTCTGCCTCCCAGATTCAAGCGATTCTCCTGTTTCGACCTCCAAGTAGTTGGGATTACAGGCGCCTGCCACTGCGCCTGGCTAATTTTTGTATTTTTAGTAGAGACAGGGTTTTACCATGTTGGCCGGGCTAGTGTCCAACTCCTGGACCTCGTGATCTGCCCGCTTGGCCTCCCAAAGTGCTGGGATTGCAGGATTGAGCCACCACACCTGGCTAATTTTTGTATTTTTAGTAGAGATGAGGTTTCACCATGTTGGTCAGGCTGGACCTCAGGCGATCCACCCACCTTGGCCTCTCAAAGTGCTGGGATTATAAGCTTGAACCACTACACCCAGCTGATAATATTTAAATAAATGAGGTATTATGATATTTTCTTAGTAAAATACAAACAGAAACACTGAAAGTAGAGACTACCTGTAGCCATGGCTCTTTTGAAAAAGTGCAGTATCTCTGTTTAGAAATTGGGAATTAAAGACTTAGGGAGTCTTCATTTGGGAATACGTGACACATTTTAAACTCTGGGATTTTATAATTATGTTGCTACAAACAACAGTAACAATGTGAGATGTAGCCACAATTCTGAACTATTGATTCAGAGGTTAAGCTAATTTTCCGTTTTGCTTCAAAGCTCACAAACATCTCTCTCTTCCCACAGAGCCATGCATTAAGGACAGATGAATCAGCCTCTCTCAGGAGGCTTATTGAGATTATTGAAAGTGCTCATGAACTTCTGGCATCTTTTTTTTTTTTGTTGAAAGCTGTTGCTGCCTTGGATATGATGCTATCAAGATGAAATATTCATTACTTGATTGACAGTGAGATACTTTGCATTTCTCATCCAAATGTCACAGAATGACTTGGTCCCCACCAGCTGAGATGGGACCCTATATATTTTAAGAACTACAACAATGGGGTATTAGCTATAGGCACATGGATCTCTTCTGTAGCCTCTGTAGTATTTGGGACCCCCTATAGAGGGGCCTTCTTCTCTCCCTTGCTTGGGACACTGTGAATCACCAAGACCTTGCAAGGGAGAGTAGAGAATGGAGTAGGTTGGAATGGTTTCAACCTTGCACGTGAGGGTCTGAAGTTCAGACTTTGAGGACATAGGTCTTCTTGTTGGTAAAAATTTCATTTCACTTTAAAAAAATCCTTTCTTTCCACCTGTTCTTAAAAAAGAAAAAAAAAACCTGTTTTTCCTGGGCTACTCATAAAGTATATATGTAATACATATTTATTATTTTAATTTCAGTCAGCAAATTTCCCTTATTTTTCTGTGTGCAACAAAATCAGGAGAAATAACCTTTTTTATTTCTTGCTTTACTAATCATGGTTTTCTTCAGCTCTAGCATCGTTGGTTAAAATTAACATTATGGCTCCTGATCCTTATTTAGCATTTGTCTTCTTGGCATAAAGGGGTAGAATATGATGGTGGAGCTGGAAAGGATTGGGGTGGTCATCTAAATCATTGCCCTCATTTTTAAGAAAAGCAACTTAAAATGTAGCAAGAGCTAAGGCTAGTACACAGGCCTTCTAGTCCCAGCTGGATGCACCTCTGTTCCCAGCCTCATCCAGTTACCAAGGCACACCCACTGCTTCTGGGTGTGGCTTGAGGAGGCACCTGCAGGGACCCTCTTCCCCAGTGCCTGTCCTAATCCATGAGAACAGCAGTCCTTTAGGTTTGAAGAAGGCTTTGTTAAAAACATTGCCTTTTGTTTAAAAAAAAACAGCCTCAGGGAGGAGTCTCACCTTAAGCCTGTTTTAACCACCTTCTTAGATATCTGCTAGCACCTTCCCAGGGTTTAGCAGAATGAGACAAAGGGCAGGTTTAGAGGATAGAGCAGTCGGATGGAAAAAGTGGGCATTAGTGTGGTATGCTCTTTGCCATTCACAGTTTTCTTTAATCTTCACGACAAGAGTATGTATTAATATTATACTTGTAGTAGAGGTGAGTTCAAGAGTCAGTGAAGGTAAATGCCTTATCCAAGGTCTGTACACAAAAACTGAGAAACAAATACCTGAAAAAAGGCAACGGAATCACACTTTACTCTTTTTCCTTATCTTCACCTGAGCTAAACTTGTTTAGAATTTTAAAGCACATTGGCTACCCTGTGTAAAGCAGGTGTGCCAGTGAAGACAGGTATGGCTTTTTCATGGAATAGCAGGTATTTGATATCTCAATATAGTAAATGGAGGTGAGGTTACATTAAATGATGATTCAACCGCCGAGCAGGTGTTCAGAGCTGCCTTGACTGTGCTCAACAGAGGCTAGGATCAGAAGAACACTTTTGAGGATTAGTCCCTATTTTCAAGTGTCCTAGTGTGTACTTGTGAGAGTTTCCTACAGGAAGCAATAAAGTAATCGATAGGATAATTGTGGCTTAATCTGTGAATGTTGTAGAAGCTCAAAGAAGAGTGCGATCAGTGGAGACAGTGGTTAGGAGTGCTCCATGGTGAAGGCAAGACTTTCCGCAGACTGAGCAGTGAGTATTTGGGTGGGTATAGGACAAATTCCATATGGTTGGCAGACAGTGCTAAAGAACATAGGACTGAAGGTAAATGACTTTCATTCATTCTGGTCCTATTCAACAAATTATGGGAATAAAAACCAACATTTTCATCTCTAGGCTAGATTCCAAAATGAAGAAATCAGCCTAGATGATCACTAAGGTCACTTTCAGTCCTAATATTTTATAATTTTAAGCTGTGCCAGTTAAGTAGGGTGGCATCAGTTGAGGCTGGAACATGTCATGAGAACCGATCATGCAGTGACAGATGCAGGTGGCACAGGGACCCGGAGTCCTGGATCCTTTGTCCTGGACATGTTCACTCTAGAGCATCAAACATGTTGCTGTTAGATTAGTATTTTAATAATGCATAATTTTTTTCTAATTTTGTTCTTTGTGGTGTCTTTTTGGCCTTTATACTTATCATACCTTTATATGTCACACCCAAAGGTCCATTAACTAGGGGACTTCTTGAAGACAGGATAATGCCCAATTAATACATGGCTAGTGTAGTGCCATATTATTGGCTGCCTGATAAATGTTTGCCAGAGAAAGTTGAACAGATGTTAATGTGCTTGTTTTGAACATGAGAAGGTTGTAGTAGAATTTGGAATTTATGCTACTGGGAGTATGGGGAGTGAGCAAAGAAGGGAAAGGTGGCCTTGCTGATGTGGGGAAGGGAGGGGCAGGAACTGGGGCGCATACCTCTATAATTTTCCTGCTTGTGAAATATGGCCCCCTGCTATCGTTGACATTGCTACATAGTATTCCTAGTTATATGACGAGATTTAAAAACAAGTGTGGCTGGGCACCGTGGCTCATGTCTGTGATCCTAGAACTTTGGGAGGCCAAGGCAGGCGGATCGCCTGAGATCTGGAATTCAAGACCACCCTGACCAAGATGGTGAAACCCCATGTCTACTAAAAATGCAAAAATTAGCCAGGTGTGGTGGTGGGCACCTGTAATCCCAGCTACTCGGAAGGCTGAGGCAGAGAATTGCTTGAACTCAGGAGGTGGAGGTTGCAGTGAGCCAATATCACACCACTGCACTCCAGCTTGGGCAACAAGAGTGAAACTCCATCTGAAAAAAAAAGGTCTAACTTTTAGACTAATTGTCTGTAGTCTTTGAAGTCTGCAGCATAGTACTCTGGAAATGTGAATTATCATGTTAGGCAAGCTCATGGGTGTAGAAAATTTTCCTTGTATTTTGCCTTCCATGGGAGATCGTCTGAGTAGTTTTTTTCCTCCTGAATTTTTGCTTGTTAAAATTCAGGCTTCAGTGATACTCATAGAGTTTCTAGCCCAAATTAGTTCAATTAGAATCTGCGAGGGTGTCTGTTCCTTGTTAGGCCCGTAAGTGGTCTGCCTTGTGTGACCTTGGTTTTTGCTAATAGAAGCATAGAATAAGAACAAGCTGGGGCCACCTGGAAAAGGATGTTACATTTTATGATTCTTCCCTTTGTCTCCTTGATTCTGTTCCTTCTTGGTATGCATGCGTGACTCCCGGAAACTGGGCGCAGCTCCGCTAAATATGTAACTGAATTAATTGCTTGGAAAAGGTCACCAATAGCTTTAAACATTATAAATTATGAGATTCAATAAATTCTGCCAGTAAAAATTCTCTATTACTTCTCGTTCTTGAAATGCGTAAGGCCTTTAGTCTAAAGTGGTTTTCTCATTTCTCTCCCACTCACTTCCATGTCAGTTTGTTTTATCTACATTATATCTATGTCTTTTTCCTCATCTTCCCAAGGGAAATGGGTTTCACTGAGATTATGAAAGTGCTGCAATTAATTCGACTACCATAAGAGAAGGGAAATCTTTCCAGCCTTCATAAATGTAAATGAATATGCTGAAAAAAAAGAAATAACTCTCTTGCTAACCCGTAATATTATATATAAGAATTACCAGAGGTAGTCTCATTATGTAGTCAATATACTTTTCTTTAAGGTTTTCGGAAGACTGAAATATTTATGAAATTGGAATTCACAGTGTCTACATACTATATTATAATACCTTTATATTATGTAAGTGTTTTTATACAGTTTATGTTATTCTTCCTGCATTGTGTTGTAGATTCTTAATTTTCAATCCTTCTACCTGCATTGTGTTACAGATTTTTAATTTCTCAGTGATCATAAAGAAACTAAATTCTATTTATATCATGTTTGGTCTAGTAGAGTGAAAAGTGAATTCTAATTCTAGCAAACACTTTCTGCATGAAATACATGAAGCATTTCAGTTCTGTGCCTCTGGTTCCTTGTCTGTGAGGCAACATAGACCACATTTTTTTTTCCGTTGTACATGCCTGAAAGGAGGGTAGGAGAATGAGGAGTGGGAAAAGTGAAGGTGCTCCTTAAACTGGCATTCTGAATTAAAAATTGATGTTTTACTCACACTTTGTATAGAATTTAATTTCCCAAAGGGAAGTGTGTTGTTTCCCCTTACATTAGACTAAAACATTTTGAAGGCAGAGACCCATATTACCTAAGACCATACAGGGCACAGTATTGCATTTTTTTTGCAAAGTTTTATTTCATTGACTGGTTCATTTGGCACAATCTCAGTTGGTTTCATTTTTTTGGAAAGTATTCCAAAGTGTCTATTAGGAGACAGTAATTTCTATGGTTTTAAATATTTATGTCCCTCCAAAATTTACATTGAAACTTTGTCCCCAGTGCAATAATATTAAGAAGTAGGGCCTTGGGTGGTGAGTAGATCATAAAGGCTCTGCCCTTATGAATGGGATTCATTTTCTTATAAAAGGACTTGGGGGAGTCTGTTAGAGAATACAGAAAGAGGTGCCATCTATGAAGCAGAGATCACACCCTCAACAGACACTGGTACCTTGATCTTGGACTTCCCACTATCCGGGACTATGAGAAATAAATTCCTGTTTATAAATTATCCAGTTTCAGATACTAGAAAGACACACACACACACACACACACACACACACACACACACCTCTTCTAAGACTACTGTCTTAGTCCATTTGGGCTGCTATAACGAAGTATCTGAAACCGGATAATTTGTAAACAACAGGAATCTATTTCTCATAGTCCTGGATGATGGGAATCCAAGATCAAGGTGCCAGTAACTATTGAGGGTGTGATCTCTGCTTCATAGATGGCACCTCTTTCTGTATTCTCTGACAGACTCCCCAAACCCTTTTATAAGAAAATGAATCCCATTCATAAGGGCAGAGCCTTTATGATCTACTCACCACCTAAGGCCCTACTTCTTAACATTATTGCATTGGGGATATGTATATATACACACACACACACACACATATATATGCACACACACATACAATTAAACATTATAAATTAAACACATATATTAAGTTAAACATATATATACACACACATACAACTAAACATTATAAATTATGAAATTCAATAAATTGACACGTTTTGTTTGTGTGCATGTGTGTGTATGTGTGTGTGTAAATTTCTAGTGGTAGTTTAAGAATAATTGGGGTCTTGGCCTATGGGAGAAGTTGACAAATATTCTTGCTATGGCCTCAGCATTTGTGTCTACCCAAAACTCATGTGTTAAAATGAGATGCTATTAGAAAGTAGGGTCTATGGGAGGTACATAGTTCATGAGAGTGAAGCCCTCATAGTTGGGATTAGTGCCCCTATTAGAAGAGACACAAAACCTCCTTTTCACTCTCTCTGGTCTGCACTATATGAAGACACAGTGAGAATGCAGCCTTTGGCCAGCTAGGAAGGGGCCTCTCACCCCCTGCCAGATACGGCAACACCTGGATCTTGGATTTCCAGCCTTCAAAACTATGGAGACATACATTTCTGTTGTATAAGCCACCCAGTCTATGGTATTCTTGTTATGGCAGCCTGAGCTGAAGATGACAGTCGCTTGAAGAAATTGTAAATAAGTGACCAACAGGAATACCTCACAGTTACAATGGATCCTCACCCTCAGTGATTGAAAGCGAAGTGTTTCTGTGGATGTCAACTGTTTGGTACTTTTCTGAGCAGGAACATTCTTTGAAATAGTGCCAGATGTTGACAAACATTTTTTTCAGAGCGTAGAAGTCTTTTTAATAATTTCCAAAGAGATCTTTTGAAAAAGAATTTAAATGTTTACAACTTCCCAGAGCCTTTCTAAAAATGTATTAATTTTAATTAAATTATGCATTAATTTTAAAATAATTGACACCATAATTTCCTATATCATCTTACATAAATAGGAAATTGATGGTTTTGTCTTGCTGAACTGAATTTGTTTTATTGGCGGGGGCATAGAATTATAGAACAGGGATTCCCAGTTAGTTAACTGGTATCTTCAAAGATCTTGAAACTTTACCTGATCTATGTGTAGTTTTATTACTGTTCCAAATGTTTCCTCTTTTTACTTTGTCATTTTTCAAGGACTTCTCAGTCTATTTCCTTCTTTACCTCTGGTGTCCCAAAATTTCAAGAAACATAGATTATTTTCATAAATATATTTTGGAGCCCCAGTCAGAATTTCTGGTTTCTCTTACTAAGGGGATTACCAAAGTTCTGTTTTGAAATATATGTTTCCTTAGTGAACACCCATTCGGGAGTTTTAGAAAAGGACATCAGGGTAGGAAACACCATATTTCCAGTAAAATATGAATTAAGAGCTCTTTTCTCTCCACATCTATCTAAAGAAGGAAGCACACTGCAAATCTCTCTGGAATCAAGCCCTGTCTGCTTAAACCAGGATGATGGGCTCCCCAAATGCTTTGGGCAGTTTCTCTTTACTTCCCTCACTTGATGTAAACGTAGCAATTGTCATTCTTGTGTTCCCTCAAGTTCAGGGCCTGCTCATGTTTCTGTCTGACCTTAGAATGCCTGTTGTTTAAGTAGGATTTCCTGTCATGGACAATCAGTTCCTAGAATTCTATTTGGTCCGGGTTGAACAAAATTGTGTACAAGCCATGGGTATCACTAACTACACCTGTCAGTGATAAGTTGGAAGGTTTTTAGGTGATGATTAATGCCAATCTCTCTTCTACAGAACCTGGTTCCAGGGTGAAACATTATAGATAGGTTCTCATTCCCAGAAGAAGCTCACAATACATTTATTTATACCTCATAAATTGGACTCAGCTGATTCAAAAATGGCAATATCTGCTTGTACTATTTCACATTTGTCACCCAGATGAATTAAAAAACAACAGTTGCTCACTAGTAATGACATAATCAGGATCAGAGGATGGTGTTCACTTATTTAAAAGAATAGTATGAACTTTAGCAAGCTAGTTTCTGAGATTATATATCTGAAGGGCTAGAAAGAACTTCAATACTCATCTTCTGTTCTCCATGAGGCCTACGTTTCTCCATCTGTAAAAGGAGAGATGGTTGGATGGGATGCTCGCCTAGTTCTGAAATTCTATGATGCTATGCAGTGGGTGTTTCGGCACAGAGTTGGTGAGTTTTAGCATCAGCCTCAGGAATAAATTAAATATTTCTTGAGAAATGTCAGAAATGTTGATTTCTAGCACTTTCCAGGTGGCAAAATGCCAAACAGTGTGGATTTTACTATATCATTATAGATTTGCAATTTAGTCAGTTAAAACATTATTCTGAGACTAAATAGTTGACATCCTGTAACTTATTCATAATAAGTATACAACTAAAACCTCAAAAATAAATTTCTATGGACTGAATGTTTGTGTCTCTCCAAAAATTTTTATGTTGAAACTCATCCCTGAGGCGATGTTATTTGGATGTAAGGCCTTTGGGAGACAGTTGAGTTTGGATAAGGTCATGGGATTGATATTCTTATAAGATGAAGAAGGGACCAGAGCTCTGTGTCTCTCCAGCGTGTGAGGGCACCTCAAGAAGATGCCATTTGCAAACCAGGAAGGACCATGTTGGCACCTTGGTCTTGGACTTTCCAGCTTCCAGAGCCATGAAAAATGAATGTTGTTGTTTAAGCTCTCCAGTCTGTAGTATTCTGGCATGCCAAACTGACTAAATCACAGCTCAAGAAAATCTCTTCTTTGTGAATTCCGTAGTCCACAAACATGACCTTGCCACATCTTCAGACGACTCCCAAATCCTTCTAACCCCTTTACAGCTTGGGTTTACCACTAATTTCTTAACAGTATCTATCACCATCGAAACCAGTGACCTCTACTTAACTGCTCTCCTCCCCACTTTCTTAACTACGTTGAACATTGTTCCTTCTAGAATGGGACATTCCATTCCTAGAATCATGATTTCTTAATTTATCTGGCTGCTCCTTTTCTGTCTCTTTGGCAGAAATAAGAAGAGCCTCCTCTACTTCTAGTTTCTAGCCTCTAAATCATGAGTTGAATACCAGAGAAAAGGGAGGGGAACACAGAATCAGAAACCCTGCGGGAGATTTTCAACATTGTTCTCAAGCCCATGCTCCGTGAGTCAGAATTATGGAAGGAGAGAAATGTGTGGTTGTCCTATGTGTACAACTGACACAGAGATGGGCATAAAGTATCAAATAATAATTCTACAGCCTACTGTCATTTAATGGAGGGTCACAGGGAGAGGGATTTCATCATTGTCTCTTGCACAGTTAGGGATCCATTTTTATTTCCACTTCAAGGGAGAAGTAACTCTTCCTGTCAAATGGAATTGCAACTCTCCCTCTTATCATCAGAATACTCCAAAAGAGCTTCATGTCGCAGAGATCTTTAGCCACCAGGGAGCCCTCAAGGAGCAAGAAGTGGGCACAAGTTTACATCAAACTACATGGAATAAAAACCTACATGGAGATTTAAGCCAGACCGAAACCAGTCTTCTCTCCGCACTGGCTTTTATTTCCCACCTCTCTTAGTGAGAAGATGCATAAATAGACCAACACCATATTCTGTTTATCTCCTACTAATAGCATGCTACATGTAGATAAAGCTGAAGGAATGATAATGGTTCTCATCTAGTCTGTCAACAATATTGTTTGTGTTTGTAGCAATTCTGGAGTTAAACTGTGTAGACAGAGCATCAAGAATAGGTAGAAACCTTCTTGATAGTTATAGTTGATATTTGGCTGCGAAGACTAGGAAGAAAATACATAATCACTGTAGAATTCTATCTCAAGATGTATTTCTGACCTAGGATACTATGTATTACATAGGCTTTCCCCAAGTATCTGGAACATCTAGAATCTTCCGAGAATGAGTACTGCTAACTTCTCAGCATGACAGCAAACCTTAGAAGCAAGTCTGAAGATAAGAGGGTAGTGTGCTTTGGGGAGATGTGAATGCCTAGGCCTTCTGCCCCCATGCCTGTTCGAAGCAACCTCTTCCCTTCCTTACAAATGCACCACACTGCTGCTACCTAGAAGAGGTGAAAATGCCATAATACCTACCCTCAAAAGACTTACTCTTAATTTATTTGTAAAAGCTAAGTGTGGTTGCATGTAGGTGGAGGGAGTCCTGAGGCTTAGCAACATTCAGGCAGGAGACTCAACTCAAGGCCTCCTCTCCCTCTGAATTCTGTGGTCCTCCAGGAAAAAGGGCATCACTTCATAGAATTTCTCTAGAAGTTACATGGGAAACCAAGAATACACTTGGCTGTGTGTGACATGTTGCCCAAATATAATGATGTTTCTCAAAGAAAGAAAACCAGATGTATTTGTTATGTCAGCTCAGGGGCAAGGTGAGTTATCGAGAACTATGGGCTCTGGTTCATGGTAGTGAGCTTTGCTTTCATCATCCATTTCAGTTGCTTTTACAGTCATCAAGAAAGAAAGCCAAGGCCAGGTGTGGTGGCTCATGCCTATAATCCCAGCACTTTGGGAGGCCAAGGCAAGCAGATCACCTGAAGTCAAGAGTTCAAGACCAGCCTGTTCAACATGGCAAAACCCCATTTTTACTAAAAATACAAAAATTAGTTGGGCCTGGTGGCACATGCCTGTAATCCCAGCTACTCAGGAGGTTGAGGCAGGAGAATCGCTTGCACCTGGGAGGAGAAGGTTGCAGTGAGCCGAGGCCACACCATTGCACTCCAGCCTGGGTGACAGAGTGAGACTCTGTCTCAAAAACAAAAAAAATGAAAGCCAAAAGCTGGCCTCTTCCTGACCTCCTGACCTCTGCTTATGAGGCACCGTAAGTCATGCTTGCACTCCTAGGCTTTGCAGCCCCACCATGCAGATCTGTGTGTGGCTGCTGCGGGCTATTTTATCCTTTTTTTTCCTATTTCCATAATTAGTATATATTTCTAAATTCATAATCATGAATGCAAAACTACAGTAATAACCCAAGAGATGAGGTATGTAGTACTTAGCGTTTGCCCTATGGAAGACAGAAGTACAGGAGTAAAGATCTTTAGGGCCAGTCCGTAGTGACCTCATTTATGACAAAGACAATTTAAGTTGATGGTGGCTTTATGTGAACAAAACAATCTACCTAATTCACTAACTCCCAGAAGGCTCTTTCGGGCACCCTGCTATGAAGCTCCAAAGTGATTTACCTCCAAGTGGCAAAAGGATTTCCTTCAAATGATCTAAAAGTTTGCACCTGGAATATACATTCTTGAAAAAACCCAAAGCGCTTAACTGGTAGGACCTTCTCCACTCCAGGCAGCCTGCAGGCACTTAACTCTCACGCTCTTTTCTTTCTTACCTTCTTCCTCACAGTCATGTTTTCTCTATAGTGAGTACATAATAGTAAGACGTTTTGGAGGAGTTTCTTATCTTGCTAAACTACAACAGTAAAGTAAGACATGGGAGTAATCATGTCTTTGAAGCCCAGACTTCAAAGTTAAGGGCTTCAGGTACTTTTTCATTAGCACCAAACACAAAAATTAATTAAAAGCAGCCAGGAGTTAATTTGTATCTATGCTATTGGTAATATTTTCTCAGTATCAAATAGTTAATCCAATAATGCCTCCAAAATATTGTAAAGTATATATATATTTTCAAAAGATTTACTATTTAATGCAAAATCAGAAGGTTTGAAAATATACTGTGGAAGATGGCTTTCACATGTTTTTATTTGGGATCAACAGATATCAGGGTATCCATCAATCAGGGACACTTATTAAGCACCACCGCTAAGTGTTAGGGATTTAAAGATGAGCAAGGCATAGTCCCCACTTTTTAAATGAGCAGAAGAGATAGACACATAAATAACAGATACAACAGAACTGCTTGGTATTCGGGGGGCTTCCAGAGAGCCACAGGGCTTCACCTTATGATGTGTTGAACTTCTCATGCTGCCACTATTTCTTGGTTTGTACAGGGTATTTCCTGTTATCAGATTTTATATTTGTTACTTGACAAATGACAGGAACCATTGACAGGTGTGCAAACACTCCTTAAACAGTCATTTGTCAAGAGGCCTACTGCAATAAAGGCACGGTGCTTACCTAAGCATGGATGGCTCATGCAAGTGAAAGCCTGCCAACACAGTGGGAGGAGTAAGAGAGCATGGCCTGTGCTATTTTTCCCTGCTGCTTTTTTGCAATTAACAGCATTTAGTCTCACATTTTAAAGTGCTTTAGTTGCTTTGTAGCTGGTGAGTGTCCAAAAAAACACCGCAATATTAGGAGTCAGACTCCTAGTATTCATACAGGACACTGTTGTGCAGCTTGTAAGCTGAAAGTCGAATGGTATAAATGAAGACTCGATTACACAAGAATTGAACCATAAATACTTGTGCCCTGTTTCACCAGTGTAAGATTTAAGTTTACTCTTGTTCCTCTTCCTCAATAAAATTCTGTACTCTTTCCTTTTAAAAATTATTTATATTAAATATTTAATAGGATAATGTAAAATACATGCATGCTGTATAGAATAACACTTCAATAACATTCTATGCACTTGCCATCAAGATTAAGAAATACAACTCTGTGCCCCTCCCAAGTTTATTGCCTTCCCCATCCAGCAGAAAGCTCATTATGAATCTTGTGAATTTTGTATTTATAATTTTCTAACTCTTCTATATAGTCTTAACACATATATTTGCTTTCTCAAATAAGATGTCATTGGTTTTGCATATTTCTTAATGTAATGTTGATAGGATAGTACTGCCCATATTTCTTTTTAAAAATGTAACTGTTATGTTTATGAGTTAACTGCCATATGAAATTATAAAATTTTTTTCTATATAAATATGCCACCATTTTTATATCTTCTCAAGTGATAAGGAAAATGTTCTGGTGTCTTTCTGTTACAAGTAGCAGTACTAGAAGCATCCTTGTGTATATTTCCTTGTTCACGTGTCCAAGACATACCTAGAAAGAGATTGCTGGATCATAATGAATGCGTATGTTCAGAGGAGACAATATTACTAGCAGTCAGTGCTCCTCCAAAAGATCTATAAATTGATTGCCATCTCAATTGAAATCTCAGCAGGCTTTTTGGTAGGATCTGAAAAATTCATTATAAAATTTTATTGAAAAAGGCCTGAAGTTATCAAAATAATTTTGAAAATGAAGGTCAAAGTTAAGCAATTTATACTACTGATTTTAAGACTTCTTATAAAGTAAGCAAAATAGTGTAGTATTGGCAGAAAAATAGACCAATATTTCAAGGGACCAGTAGTCTAGAAATAGATGACACATATATGAGCAATGACTTTTGACAAAATGCTAGGACAATTCAATGGGAAAAGGATAAATCTGTTCAACAAATTATGCTGTAACAATTAGGTATAGTCATATGCCAAAAAAACACACCAAAAAAACCCAAAAATGAATCTTGACCCTTACCATAGACGGCATGCAAAAATTGACTCAAAGTGAATCATATACTGAAAATAAAAACCTAAAACTTTAAAACTATAGAAGAAAGTCTTAAGAGTCCTTAGGTTTGACAGATTTTCCTGCATGTAACATAAAAAGCACAATCTATAGACAAAAAGTCAATAAGTTATACTTCATGAAAATTAAAAACTTTTCCCCTGTGGAAGACCCTGTGAAGTGAATGAGAAGACAAGCCATAGATTGGGAGAAAATCTTTTCAATACACATATCTAACAAAGCATTTGTATATAGACTATATAAATGACTCAACACAATCTAGTTAAAAACAGGGCAAAATGTTTTCAAACAAATATGAAATCCAGTGACTCAGGAGGAAAAAATAATCTGTACAACCAAGACATATTGGTAGCAAGTCCAATGAATGATAAAGTTGGACCTGTGACCATCTGAAAGGCCTTCTGAGTAATGAGAGGTTTTGCTGTATTATTTACATGTCTGTCTTCTCTACTCATCTGAAAAGCAGGGATATGACTTGCTCATGTTTGAATCCCTAAGATTTAGTTTTGGTGCTCAAAGTTGATTGTGACAATTTAAGGATGCATATGTTCATTCTAGGAATGAATTTAAAAATACAAAGATGTAGCTTAAAATGCAATGGAAAAGATAGAAATTGTTAAAAAATACCACTTCACATAAAAGAAAACAGGAAATGAGGAAGAATATGAGACCAAAGATCAGAGATGTCAAATAGAAAACAAACAGCAAGATGGGAGACTTAACCACAGTCATATCAATAATTACATTAAATGTAAATGAACAAAATATATTTTTCCAAAAGGCAGGGATTTTTTGATTTTAGATACATGTGTATATATAAATATACACATATATATGTGTGTGTGTATATATATATATATAAATATATACATATGTGTGTGTGTACACACACACACACACACACACACACACATATAAAACAGGACCCAGCTATAAGATTCTGCACATATATTAGATATAAAGACGCACACCAATTGAAAAATTGAAAGTAAATTTATGGAAAAATACACATCATTGCAAACACTAAGCGTAAGAAGGTGCATGTAGCTGTATAAATATCAAATAGGCTTCAAGGCAGGAGGTTTTATCGACATAAAAAGGGTAAAATCATAGTGGTAGCAATCTTAAATGTTTATGCTCTTATTAACATACCTTCAGTATACAGAAAGCAAAAATTGACAGAAAGGGAGAAAGATAGACCTTCACAAAGGTATTTGAACATTTTAACATTCTTCTCTCAGAAATTTATAGAACAAGTGATGGACCATTAGTGAAGATAGAGAAAACTCAAAAAACACTATCCATCAGCTTGACCATATAAACAGTTATTTACGTCATCCAATTACTGCAGATTACATACTTATTTTATGTGAACATGAAACATTGATCAGGAGAGCTTATATGTTGGGTCATAAAACAAATCTACTGATATAAGACATTAATACATTTATTTTTAATTCCATCATAAGGATATATATCTTACAATTATTTTCTTATTAATTTTTCTAAGGGTGTTTTGAGGTTTAGCATCACTATACCTATTTTGTTTTCAGTTGAGAAAAGGAACATTGGTTAGTCCCCAGGTTATTCTAGTTAAATACAATCTGATTTTCCTTCTTGGTGGCCATGCATACCACCTATATGATTGCATTATATTGAGAAAGTTGTTACAAAGCCTCACCTTTTGGCCCTTCTTGGCTAGTTATCCCTGGCACTATTGGTCAAGAACAACAGCACACAACCATCTCTTTCAACTAAATAATTTATGTACCCAGAATTGCTTTCTTCCTACTGTTTCGACTCCAGGGTCATTTAAAAGCCGTTACTTCCAAATATTAACAGTATTGGAATTCATAATATATAAACTAGGAAGTGCAACTTGGTGCTGCTGTAAAACCAGTTGAGTTATGCAGATTAAAAGGCTTGATTCAAGGATACCCTTATTCTTTTATTTGCAAGTAATTATTAAGTCTCTCTGTCATGATAGGTCCTTGTTTTGAAAGAGCTTATAGCCTACAGAAGGAGACATACAGATGTTCCAGGTGTGTCTCATTTTGTAGACAAAATGAGAACATATTCTCTTTTTTTTTTTGAGACAGAGTCTTGCTCTGTCATCAGGCACCAGACTGGAGTGCAGTGGTACAGTCTCGGCTCACTGCAACCTCCACCTCCCAGGTTCAAGCAATTCTCCTGCCTCAACCTCCCGAGTAGCTGGGACTAGAGGTGTTTACCACCACACCTAGCTATTTTTTGTATTTTTCAGTAGTGGCGGAATTTCACCATGTTGGCCAGGATGGTCTCAATCTCTTGACCTCATGATCCGCCTGCCTTGGCCTCCCAGAGTGCTGGGATTACAGGTGTGAGATGTATTCCCTTTGAAAAAACAGATGGCTCTTCCCATTTGCCACCATCACCAAAGTGGGAGTGGCTAAAATGAAGTTCAATCCCTCTGTGACTTCTGACCAAAGCAAGGATTGCAAAAAGCATTTCAATGCACCTTCCCACGTTCAAAGGAAGATTGTGTCTTTCCCTCTTTCCAAAGAGCTGAGACACAAGTACAACGTGCGATCCATGCCCATCCGAAAGGATGATGAAGTTCGGGTTGTACGAGGACACTATAAAGTTCAGCAAATTGGCAAAGGAGACCAGGTTTACAGGAAGAAATATATATCTACACTGAATGGGTGCAGCATGAAAAGGCTGATGGCACATCTGTCCACCTAGGCATTCACCCCAGCAAGGTGGTTATCACTAGGCTAAAACTGGACAAAGACCACAAAAAGATCCTTGAATGGAAAGCCAAATCTCGCAAAGTAGGAAAGGAAAAGGGCAAATACAAGGAGGAAACAATTGAGAAGATGCAGGAATAAAGTAATCTTATATAAAAGCTTTGATTAAAACTTGAAACCAAAAATAAATAAATAAATAAAGAACAGATGTATAATGATCCGTCTTCCTCCTGCTTGAATGCAGTAATTTTAGTCTTTTGCAAAATTTTATTTTCATGTATTTCTTGGAGTTTCTAGAGATGGTAACTGTTGAATGAATTCCTTCCTTTGCTGCTGTGTTCCTTAGATACCCAGCACTCTCAGTTCAGCCCAAGGGCCACAGCTGGCGTTCTTGTATCCCTCACTTCCTGGAATGGCTCCCTTTGGACTGCTGCTGCAGACCCCATGATGCTTCATCCAAGCATGGGCCTCTTAATTCTACAATATTTACAAAATGTTCAATAAGAGAAGAAAAAAACAACAAAGAGAACAATTTATGATAGCTACTAGATATGGTAACTATTGAAGTCAACATATTCAGACCCTTAGCTTTTAGCCTAATGTCTTGTTGCAGAATCCACTTTACCTAACCCCAAAGGTCTACTCACAGGTAGATATTACTCATTCCAAATCCAGAGCCATGCCTCCTCTAAGTCTCTTTGGAGGATGAAGATGGGTTCTTTTCATTTTTTTCTAGTTTAAGACATGCCTTCTTAAGCTCCATATTAGTACTGGAATGAATCTCTCAATTGGAATGTGAACAGTAAAAATATCTACTTCCTTTGGCAATAATTTTACCTTCTATCCTTAGGGACATGGTCTGGTCCCAGGATTTCAATTTCTCAACCATGCTCTATCATGGTTCACTGCCTCAGTAGTGAAGCATTGATATATATATGACAAGTGGAAACACACAGGTAGACTTTATCAGTCCAGATTCCTTTTCCTTCTATAATTACGTCTCACTCTCAAGTAGACTCTGTGGCCTATATACCTTTCCTGCTATTTTTTTATTTTTGGGGGAATATCAATTCCTGATTGCCTTTGAGATAGCTTACCCAGTCTTCATCCATACCCCATCATCACAGACAGACACACATTTTCTAAGAAAGTAATAATACGTACTTGGATAGGTCAGTTTAAATTTGTACTTGGAAAGGGAATCTTGCTCTATAGAAACTAATACGTAGACATTTCACTGCCCACCAGAAAGGATTTTTTTTAAAATCACTTTGTTCTATTACTTTTAGCTTCTAACACCTGTGCACCCAGAAATATCTCTGCTATCTGTCTGCATATCTCGTGGTTCTTCTGAAGAGAAAATATTCTCTTACTAATGAAATCATCTGTCTGTAAGGCAAAGTCATGTGTTTACTTCTTGCAATAGAAACTTCCTCTGTTGGATGCTCCAAGATGACAAGGCTTTCAGATTGTTGCCTTCCTATTAAAATAAGGTCACTGCTTGCCTTCATTTCTATCTGTGTGTTTAGTAGGTATCTGAAACAAAATGTGGCCAAAACAGAACGTTTGATTCCTTCTTTCTCCAAATTCCTTTATCCCTCTGTACCCCGTTTTGTTAAAGGGCAGCTATAAGGATTTGGTTGCTCAAACCAAAAGTTATGAATCTTCTTTGATCCATTTCTTTCCCTTCATGCCTCTTTCCCCTCCTTTCAAGCCACTAATTTTTGTCTTGTTGGCTGCACACAAAATATATCCCAAATTCATCCATTTCTCTTCCTCATAATCATACGACCCTGTCATTCTTGCAGTAAATTCTCTTACTGGTCTCTTTTCTTCCATTCTTCTAAATCCCAGAAGCCTGAGTTTTTAAGTGAAATTCAGATCATATCACCTTTCTGCCCAAAACTCAACCATAGTTTTCTACAGCACTTAGAATAAGATCCAGACTACTTTCCATGGCCTACAAAATTCTGCATAATAAAGGAAGAATTCTTCATTCCTGGTGAATGACTTAGTGGCTCTGAAGGGAAAGGAGGTGTCAAGATTAAATATCTGACAAGCAATGTGTCATGAAATATCCAAGATAGTTCAGGTGACACTCATCAATTCTGCTTCTTCAGTTTAAATGTGAAGTGCGGGCTTCTGGTTAATTCACTTTCTAGAGGATAAAGAGAGAAATCAAAGTTGGGTTGGGGAATAAGTGTGGGAGAGGAGAAAAACAAAAGACATGCACATAAAAACCGAAAACAAATGCAATACAAACAGAGATAAATAGGTGGGACTTCATTAAACTGAAAAGCTCACCCTGCAAAAGAAATGATCAGCACTATAAATAAACAACCCACAGAGTGGAAGAAAATCTTCATAATCTATGCACCTGACAAAGGACTGATATCCAGAATGTACAAGGAATTCCAGAAAATTAGCAAGAAAAAACAATCTCATCAAAAAGTGGACTAAGGACATGAAGAGGCAATTATCAAAAAAAGATATAAAAATGGCCAACAAACATATGAAAAAATGCTCAACATCACCAACGATCAGGGAAATACAAATCAGAACCACCATGCGATACCACCTGACTCCTGCAAGAATAGCCATGATCAAAAAATTCCAAATTAATCATTGTTGGCAGGGATGTGGTGAGAAGGGAACACTTCTGCACTGCTGGTGGGAATGCAAACTGGTACAACCACTGTGGAAAACAGTGTAGAGATTCCGTAAAGAACGAAGAGTAGAACTACCATTTGATCCAGCAATCCTACTACTTGGTATCTATCTGCAGGATAAGAAATCATTATATGAAAAAGATACTTGCTCATACAGGTTTATAGCAGCACAATTCACAACTGCAAAAATATGGAACCAGCCCAAATACCCATCAGTAAACAAGTGGATAATGATAATGAATATATATACATATATATTCATTCCATGGTGTGTTTCAATTCATACTTGGAAAGGGAATACACACACACACACACACACACACACACACACACACACACACCATGGAATACTACTCACCCATAGAAAGGAACAGAATAATGGCATTTGCAGCAACCTGGATGGGATTGGAGACCATTCCTAAGTGAAGTAACTTAGGAATGGAGAGCCAAATATCAGAGTGAGAGCTACACTATGAGGATACAAAGGCAAAAGAATGATGCAGTGGACTTTGGGGACTCGGGAAAGGTTGGGAGGAAGGTGAGGGATAAAAGACTGCACACTGGGTATGGACTATACTGTTTGGGTTATGGGTGCACTAAAATCATAGAAATCACTGCTGAAGAACTTACTCCTGTAACCAAACACTACCCGTTTCCCAAAATCTATGGAAATAAAAATTAAAAATAAAAAAAATCACGAGAGTCAAAGAGTAGCAAATGGTTTTACAGATGTTCAGAAAGGAAATTTCAAAAAGCAAACACAATGTCACTTGTAAGAAAATAAAATAGATTAGATTCACCTGCTACTTCTTAAGTGGTAATCATGTAAAAAAAAAAAGTCCTCATAGAAACATGGCCAGTGGTGGTCCATTAATATGCATGGACACATGTACACACGTGTATACATGTGTCCCTGTATCTGAGTCATTGGTAGCAAAGTTGGGAGTGTAGGAATCTCCTATGGCTCATGCCACTTTCCAGGTGAAGAGAATACTTTAAGGTCACAAAATCCCGAAGGTGTTTTGCGAAGTGCGGCACAGCTCTGGTTGCTATTCCATGGGATCATCACACACTTCCAGGAGGCAGAAGGTGAAGATCAAAGTAGCTTCCTTGGAGAGGCGGCAGCTCCACAGACACGTGCTGGCTTTGCTCTATGGTATTTAAGCCCCTGGAACATGGAGATGAAACAGAAAATAGCTCAAAACAATTTGTGCCCAAAGAAATCTTAAGCCAAATTTATTTTTTAAGGCATTTCTAATTCTAGGTTGGTGCAAATGTAATTGTGGTTTTTGTCATTACTTTTCATTGCAAAAACCACAGTTACGTTTGCACCAACCTAATAGAATTTATAGAAAAACATGACAAGTTCTACTTAGAATCAGAAGGCCAGAAGTTGGGCAAGGGGTCCAAGAAGGCCTGCTGCTTGTAGTGGAATTGTCAAATGGAAACGTTCTCCTCCAGTTGGGCAAATAAGTCTGTGCTGTGACCCCGCCCTTCTAGTGATGGTTTCCTCTCTCTCTAGAGAAAAGCAGGGGCTTCACTGCGAAAGACCTGGAAGGCAGCAAACAGGCCGTTCTAGCTGATGAGGACTGTTGGGAGGGTGAGCCTGGGATGTCCTTTTCTTAATTAGCTCTGGCCTCCTGAGGAGGGCAAATGAACTCCCTGTGATGAAGAGACAACAGCAGCTGTCAGGAAGAACCTAAAGGCACCTTGATGTTAGATTGTCCCGAAGCCTGGGAGGCCAACACGAGTCCTCAGAAGATATAAAATATGAGCAGAAAGGCTCACTACCTTACAAGTGGCAACCTAGTGTGATCTAATCTAACAGGTTCCTTTTTTACACGTAATGTTTCTACACCCACACACATATACATATTTATAATTGCAGTATTTGTGGCCATTTTTAAAGGATGAACTTTACAGCTCCGTCAGACTTAGCTACTGCTTACGTCCAGGCTGGCCCGATCCACGTGAGTCTGACGCGTTGCTTCTACTCATCAGCAGGGTGTCTAAACTGTAGGATCAGTCACTGAGTTATTAAAAGCAAACATGCCTCGCTTCTCATTCTGCCTGGGTGCCCACCGAGGCACTTGCCTGTGTCCGTGTCCATTAGATGATTCAGTTGTTTTTACCATGCAGCTTTTTCCTTCTAAAACACTTTGGTTTCAGTGTTCTCTTGGCCATCTGTCTCACACTGAGTAAGTCATTTCACCTTTCCAGGCCTCCTGTTCATCCTCTATGACATGACGAGATTGGACTGTTTGACCTCCTGGACCCTTGAGACACTGAGAGTCTCTGTTTCTATAATGTCTATCTGACTCCTCAAGCTACAGGGGTCCCTGCTTATAATTCATTTATTCTCCTTGAGCCACTTTTGTTTTATTAAGAGCTTGACCAAGTGACCTAATGATCTTCACTTCTGCCGCACACGTGCTGAACTGCAGGCAAAGAGGTCATCGATGGCATGCTAGTTCTTTGCATGCTGCCTAGCTTTTCTGTGGTAGAAGATCTACAGTCCTTATTTGCAGATTGCTGGTCCCTTATCCAGCATTTCCTACTCAGGAGATCTGAGATGAAGCCTGATCATCAGCATTTCTGACATGTCCTGTTTGTGGATGTTGCCACTGTTACCTTGAGAATCACAGACCTAGACTAAGAATGGAAGGCAGTTCATCCCTGGTAAGGAGTGGTGAGTACAAAGGGATGGAGGCACACAAGACCATGGCGTGTTTGGGAGATGACATAGTTCATTTGTCCAGGGTATACGACCCAAACTGAGCAAGTAACAAGAAAGGAGTCAGATTATGGAGGGCTAAAATATTTGGACTTTATCCTGAAAGGCTGTTAGGGGAAGATATCTAAGAATTTGAGTTAATGGGAGACATAATGAGATTTGTAATTTACAAAGACTATTCTGCATGCTAGACGAAGAGCATGCTGGATGGGATCCACTTTGGAAGCCAGGAGGCTGTCTAGCAGATGCCTTCATCTAGATTAGAACCAAAGAGGTTCCAGGGAACCAGTGCATGGCAATGTGGATTGAGAGTTAGAGGCAATAGCTATTTGGAGACTTATTGGGCAATTAAATATGGAAGAAGATTTTAAAATGTTTTATAACAAATCGGAAAGTTCATCAGGCTCTTTAGTGTCTCATTACCACGTTTTCTTTCTGTCTTTGATCCTTCTAGACGTTATACATACCTTTGCTTTGTGAAATTCTTAATTTGCTTTCATTTTCATATTGTTTCTTCCTGGATCATTAAATAGATTTAGTAGATCGTATTTAAGAGAGGATTAGTAGCCGGGTCTGGTGGCACACGTGTGTAATCCTAACTACTCAGAAGGCTGAGGCAGGAGGATCTCTTGACCCTAGGATTTCGAGGCTACAGTGAGCTATAATTGTACCACTGCCCTCCAGCTCTAGGTGACAGAGTGATACTCCTCTACAAAATTTAAAAGAAAAAAGAGAGGGTGAGTAAAGTTGCCACAAAGAAAAACAGTATTTATAAAAATTCTTGAGGCAATAGTGTATGTAATAAAGGGGTTGAGGTCTGTTTTGGTGGCACAGGGTAGCTTGCTCCAAAGTAGCTGGTCCTCAGCAGGACTCAGATAGGGGGTTGCAAGCAAGGCCAAGGGATAGTCACAAAAGCATGACCTATACAAGGTCATAGTATCTGTAGACAGAAGTTGCAGCCACTATCGCTTCCTTCTATTTCTTTTTTTCTTCTCCTCCCCAAATTTCTATATGCATGTACACACGCATGCCCCGTATAAAAGAATGTCCCAGTTGGTCAGCCCTAGGCACTCCCAATCTGAGATTCTACAGTACCTGCACCACGCTTCCCCACAACACTTTGCATGCTTCACTGTTGTTTTCTTTCCAGTGTCTGCCTCCCAATCTAGCCTGTGAGGCCTTTGAAGGAAGGAATTCTTATGAGAGAGGAGCAGAGGAAGCAAGTGATCTTTCAGCTTCAGAGCTTAGTCCCAGGGACTGTCTTGGCGGATGGAGTTTTAAACTCATGCCGAGAGACTATTTATTTCAGGTTATCTGCAAAACCCCTGTAAATCTGGTCTTGCCTTAGTTGGAATTCTCAGAGGAACCCAAGGAAAGATTTCTTGCCCAGAGGATTCTAGAACACAGTAAAAAGCTACACTGATAGCTTTCCTGGCTCAAATTAGAATGGTGATATCTGGAGGCTTTATCTTATCCTAACGTTTCCTGGAAGACAGTATTCAGAAATGCACTGCATAAACCATGGACAGGTGGAACTGCTCTGGTTGCCTGGCCGCACTCCCCTTTCTTCTGGTGAAGAGTGTGCTTCTCAACATTATTTTAAGAGTCTCTTTTTTTTTTTTTTTAATTAAATGGCTTAATTAAAAAATTAAGTCCTTCAATAAAACTTTTTAAATTTGTCTTTTGTGTATTCCCTCCTATCAAGGAAATCTGGTGGAATCTCAGTTTCTGTGGCTAATTTTTTGTTTTGTTTTGTTTTTCTGAGACGGAGTCTTGCTCTGTCACCCAGGCTGGAGTGCAGTGGTGCAATCTTGGCTCACGGCAACCTCCACCTTCCGGTTTCAAGCCATTCTCCTACCTCAGCCTCCTGAGTAGCTGAGATTACAGGCATCTGCCACTGCACCTGGCTAATTTTTGTATTTTTAGTAGAGACAGATTTCACCATGTTGGGCAGGTGGGTCTCGACCTCCTAAATTTGTGATCCACCTGCTTTGGCATCCCAAAGTGCTGGGATTACAGATGTGAGCCAGTGCACCCAGCCAATTTTTTTTAAGTATATAAAATATGCTTCTTAAATATACTTGCTTCTCTAGATGTTCTGGTGGGGACTCCTAAGGAATTCCCTGTACCGTAGCTGGAGTTTGAAATAACTCACTGCTCATGGTGTATGGTCCTGTGCACAAAGCCCTCAGCCAAGCAGACCCTATTGCCTGCCTACAACCATTGTTTTATGATCATTAATCTGAGCAAGGGTGGTTATGAGCTGAGACCCTACATTTTATTATTTCTCAGATATGTTCCCCAAACAAATCAGTTTTGAATTAAATATTCTGACCTGGGATTAAGAATCCTGTGTTCCAGAAGTCCCATGTAATTCTTACATGTTTTAGGAATATGGCAAAAGGTCATTAAGCTTCTGTTTTTGGTTGTCTTCAGAATTGGATTATTGGCTAATTTTAAAAAGTATTTTCTTTTCTTCCTTCTCTGGTTTGCACAATCACCTTTCTTTGTTGTGAGTTTAATTCAAGCTTATATATTGCTTCTTTATCAAACTTGGGTGTGACAGGAGAACTGGAACGTTCCACTTGGTTTTGGAGATGGGGAACAGGGGTGGGGGGCGGAGAGAGAGAGAGAGAGAGTGCAAGAGAAAGAGAAGCGTTCTACAATCAGAATGAAAACAGAACGATAACCATTGTTGGAGTTTATTCATTCACTGAGTTGGCTAAATCAGTATGAGCTGAGCCCTGTAGCTGATATTGCCATGGAAACCAGGCAGGAACAGAGTTGCCTGGTTCCTGTCTGTTCCAAGCTTTGGATCCTGTAAATTCTAAGATTTTAAAAGGATTTTTACTTATGTTAGATATTTTGCTCTTGACAACCAAAGGCACTCTGACTGATTCTGAGAGTTGAGTTGGAAGTCAGATTATCTGGATTCTGACATCAGATCTGCCATTCAATGTTTGTGTGGCCTGGAATTAGTCGTGTCACCTCTCTGAACATCAGCTTTTTCATCTGTGGAATCAAAATTGTTTAATTGCTTGAACCCCATTGTGATGATCAGTTTTATGATATTGTGAGCGCTATTATTATAGTCAATTACAGGCCTTCTGTCTCTTGAATATCCATGGAATCATTGTATAAATTTGCTTTTTCTTCTACATGAAAAATCAAACATCTTATTAACATCATGATGAATAAATTAGAATAGAAATTAGATTTAAAAAGCTGAGAGGCCTTTGAAGGCCAAATTGTATGCCTAAAATATTATGATTTCATTACCCTGGAAAGAGATCTGGTAACCATATGGAGCAGCATGGATTAGAAGGTAGTATCTCATGAAGCTTTCTTTTTTCTCTCTTTTTTAACTTTTGGTATCCCTTTGCAGTAAATTAGCAAATATCAATTAAGAAGTGCGATGTGTTAGGCATAGCATCAGGTACTGAGGATGCAATAAGATGTGGTGTATACGCCTTTTGATTAAGTTTGGCAACGGTTAATAGAGACCCAAGGAAGCAACAGCCTAAAGCAGGGAGAACTGTGTGTCTTTCTCATGGAAACTCAGAAGCAGGCAGACCAGGGTGGGAAATGGACACCCAAGCTCCTCTCCTGTTGTTGCTTTGCCCCGTGTGGGTCTCTGTTCCCAAAGTCACTTCCTTTTGTCCAATCAGCATGGCTGGTCTAGCCTCATTTAGCAGACCTTGTTTAACTGGCAAGAAGGAGAAAAAAAAAGACGAGAAAGAAAAAAAGGTGTGCATTGGCTGTTTTGGGGGGTTTCTGGAAGCTGCCTGATGAGCTTCTCTCAGGAGATGCAGGATAATCATACCACTGCATCTAATGGCCGAGGGGGGCTGGAAATATGGTCTTTATTTCTTTTGCTTTATGCCTCACAAAACATTAGGGGCTCTATTATTTTGGAAGGAGAAGATAGATACTGATAAACAACTAGCAGGTTTTGCTATACATGGTGACATGGGTTTCTCAAGATCAACATGTAAGTAAGTTGTTAAAATTCGGTATAGAAATAATAATGTGCATACAGACATGTGTTCCCCAGGAAGTAGAGTGAAATTGAGAATGCATTACCTACAGTGAGGTGTAATGCACAAACTGAGACTTGAGATCTAAATTAAAGTAAAAAAACATCATAAGGTTGCAGGTTACTGTTGAAAGTTTAGTGCTAATGATTAAAGAAATGCAAACTAAAACCAACGTGAGATATAATCTCATCCCAGTTAGAAAAAAAAGATAGGGAATAACAAACAGATGGTGGTGAGGATGTGGAGAAAGGGGAACCCTCATATGCTATTAGGAGGAATGTAAATTAGTACAGCCACTATGGAAAACAGGACGGAGTTTCCTTAAAAAAAAAAAAAAAAACTAAAAAATAGAACTGTCGTGTGATCCATCAATCCCACTACTAAGTATATATCCCAAAGAAATAACACCAATGTATTGAAGAGGTATCCTCACTCACCCATTTCTTGCAGCAGTACTCAACAATAGCCAAAATGTGGAGTCCACCTAAGTGTTCATCAGTGGGTGAAAGGATAAGAAGAATGTGGTAGATGTATACAATGGAATATTTTCCAGCCATAAAAAAATGAAATCTTGTCATTTGCATCAACATGGATAGAACTAGAGGTCATTATGTTAAGTGAAGTGAGTCACGCACAGAAAGTCAAAAACACATGTTTTCACTCATGCCTGAGAATCTATGAGAGCTAGCAAGTGGATCTCATGAAGATGGAGAGTAGCTTGGTGGCTGCCAGAGGCTGGGAATGATAGTGGGGAGGAGGGAAGAGAAGTTGATTAATGGGTACAGATAGACAGTTTGAAGGAAGACATAAGACCTGGTATTTGATAGAGCAGTAAGGGTGTTAGCGTTCATATTAGCTGATTATACATTTCAAAATAACTAGAAGATAATACTTTGAATGTCCCTAATCAGTAATGTTATTAGCATTAATACTTGCTGGTTATGCATTTCTCAATGACTAGAAGATCATAATTTGAATATCCCTAGCATAAAGAAGTGATAATTAAGTGATGGATATCCAAGTTACCCTGATTTGATTACATAAATGTATTAAATTATCACTTGCCTGAAAATATGTACATCTGGTATGTATCAGTTTTTAAAGTTCAGTGCTAGGGAAACATACATTCTGAGTTATGGATACTGGGGACTGATTCTGGAGTAGCAGGTGGAGGCTATGTTCTGGAACCCTTCTTATGACACCATATGGTTCCTGTGGAAGGATGATAAGATTGTATTTTATATAAGCCAATGACCTACAAAACTACAACAATTGTAATCCTGTATGCTAGCAGTGGGCAATTTAGCAATAAAAATAGCATGAAAAAGTACAAAGCACATAGGGATAAATGAAACAAAAGAAGTGCAAGAAGTACACACTGACAACTACAGACGTGGGTGTGAGGAATCGGAGAGAGACTGCATGTTCACAGACAGGAAGATTCCACGGAGTTAAGATGGTCGTTCTGCAGTGAATCTGTAGATTCAAACCAATCCTTAGACCTAAGTCCCCACAGGCATTGTTTCTTCCAAAAATTGACAAACTGATCCTAAAATATATATGAAAATGGAAATAACCTAGAATAGCCAAGAAACTGCAAAACAGGAAAGTTCATGAATTTATACCATTCATTTCAATACTTATGACCAGCCTGCATTTATCAGGCAATGTGGTTTGGGCTTAAGAATAGACATATGAGCCCAGTGCAGTGGCTCACACCTGTAATCTCAACACGTTGCGAGGCTGAGACAAGAGGATTGCTTGAGGCCAGGAGTTTGAGACCAGCCTGCGCAACAAAATGAGACTCCTAAAAATTAGCTGAGTACCATGTCTCAAGTCTGTGGTCCCAGCCACTCAGAAGGCTGGGAGGATCACTTAATCTCATCCTTGCACTCTGGTGTCTCAAAAAACAGATAGAGAGAGATAGATAGATAGATAGATAGATAGAAGAGACATATACAACAATGGCACAGAATTAAGCTATCCAAAAATAGCCGTTGGCAATTCAAAAGGGGGTAAGGATTGTTTTTTAAACAGATAATGCTGGGGCAATTATATATCCATACACAAAAACAGTGAATTTAAAATCTTACCTTACACTATACATAAAATTACCTCAAAATGAATAATAGACCTTGCATAGGAGCAAAACTTATAAAATATCTGAGAGAAAACCTGGTAGAAATGTTTATGATTTTTGAATTAGGCGATGAGGTCTTAGATGTAACACTGAAACCACAGTCCATAAAAGAAACTGACAAATTGGACTTCGTCAAAATTAAAACCTTTCCCTCTTCAAAAGACAGTGTTAAGAAAACAGCTAAGCCCTGTCTTAAGAGGAAATATTTGCAAGTCATTTATCTGATAAAGACATGTATTCTGAATACACAGAAAGATCTTACAACTCAGTAAGACAATTAATTAGAAAGTGGGAAAAGAGGCCAGGCGTGGTGGCTCACATCTCTAATCCCAGCACTTTGAGAGGCCAAGGCAGGTGGATCACTTGAGGTCAGGAGTTCTAGACCAGTGTGCACAACATGGTGAAACCCTGTCTCTACTAGTAATACAAAAATTACCCAGGCATGACGGTGTGCACCTATAATCACGACTACTCTGGAGGCTAGGCAGGAGAATTGCTTCAACCCAGGAGGTGGAGGTTGCAGTGAACCAATATTGTGCCACTGCACTCCAGCCTGGGTGACAGGGTGAAACTATGTCTGCAAAAAAAACAACAACAAAAAACAAACTTAAAAAAAAAGTGAGAAAAGACCTGAACAGATATCATCCAGTGAAGACATACAGATGGCAAATAAACACATGAAAAGAAGCTCAATATCATGTTATTAAGGAGGCACAGGTTAAGACCACAGTGATTTACCACTTCACATCCGCTGGAAAATCTGTCATCGGAAAGGCAATGATGAATGTTGGTGAAGATGTAGAGAAAAGTGAATCCTTCAGGCATTACCTAAGCTAGTTAAAAACATATATCCACCCCAGTGTATGTACCAGCATGTTTGTAGCAGAATTATTCAGTCGCCAGAGATACAAACAATCCAAGTATCTATTGAGTGGTGAACGACTAAAGAAAATGGGCATGTGCATACAACAGAATATCATTTAGCAACAAAAAGGAGCAAACTGTGGTGTGCTAGAAAGTGAAGGAACCTCAGAAACGTTATTCTAAGTGAAAGAAGTCAGACTTAATAGATTATATATTTTATTATTATACTTACATGAAATGGCAGAACAGACGAATCTGTAGGAATAGAAAGCAGATACAGTAGTTCCCTTGACCCTCCGCAGTCCCAGGCCTTTAATGGCCCTTATCGTAAGAAGGCTGGGCCCAGGCCCCCTTCACCCTGGTGTTCTGTCCCAGGACCATGAGGATAGCTGCACTCTCAGATGTGCTTGTAGATAGGGAGGAGGCAGGAAGCTTGAGATGGAAACGGGTGCTTTGCCTGTCCCCACATTGGTTCTGGACCCCTCAGGGTGCTCTAAGAAGGAAAAAGCAAATTTGTCCACCGAGAGGAACGTCATAGTGGACATCAAGATGCAACTTAGTGCTTTATATATTTATATTTCCTCGTCTTTCAAGCTTTACCTTTGATCGTGGTAATTCTATTTGTTGTGGTCACACTCCCTCCTGTTCCTCTGACTAGTCTAGACATCACTCCTCCCCAAGTTCTCTACCCTGGTCTCCTTTTCTTTAGGCCAAAATATTCTTGAGTTGCCTTTGATGAAACTAGATCTGAAAGGACTTCTAGTTGATTAATGTGTTCATACAACATACTGTGAAACTGGGCAAGAGGATGACATAAACGTTCCTTGAAGCCAGCTGGGGGAGGACTCTGCCACTGGTTTTTCATTTTACAAAATGAGAGAGCATCTATTTATGGCTTTTGAGGACATAAAATGGGGCAGTCTATTTGATCAAAATTAATAGTACCCCCCTCGTTCCAATAAAAAATTTATTTATGGTGACAACATCTTTATAAATGTGGAGTGTCTTCCTCTTAATGATTTTTTGGAACTTCAGCGGTAAGGTCACATTTGGATTCATGCTAACCCTGGGAGATCATTGAAAACCAGAACAGAGCAGGCTGATTAGGTGACTGTTATAGTGTAGACCAAGAATATAGCTTCTAAGAGTTATTTCACATCTTAGGGATACAGTAAGATGTGATCTACTTTTTTTTTCTGAGATGGAGTCTTGCTTTGTCACCAGGCTGGAGTGCAGTGGCTCAATCTCAGCTAACTGCAACCTCCGCCTCCCCGGTTCAAGTGATTCTCCTGCTTCAGAATCCCGAGTAACTGGCACTACAGGAGCACTCCACCACACCCAGCTAATTTTTGTATTTTCAGTAGAGATGGGGTTTTACCATGTTTGCCAGGATGGTCTCGACATCTTGACCTCATAATCTGCCCGCCTTGGCCTCCCAAAGTGCTGGGATTACAGGTGTGAGCCACTGCACCTGACCAGTCTACTTTTACAAATAATACAGTGATTAAATAAAGGTATAAGAGAGAAATAATTTATCCCAAAATATAAAGAAATGAAAATGAGTAAGAATAGATGATGTTTGTAGAACTAACTACCTTACTTTATCTAGTATGATTGGAAAATAAGGAGTTCTAATGATGTATGATTCTGATGAGGAGATATTCATACAAAACCAAAGATAATGAGTTTTCAAGGCATCATAATAAAACAAACCATATTTCAACCCTATGGCTTTATTAAATGTAATTTAATTATACTTAGTGATTCAGAAAATGCTCAGGAATTGTATAGGCCTTGAGGTTAATGTCTTTGATCACTTAGAGTACAGAACTGTGAGTCAAAGTGGGCTCCATCGTTGATAGGCCCTGTGGCATACCCAGCAACTGTTTGTAGAAAAATTAGTTTTTGGGCCCAAGCTGGGTGCTCATGCCAGTAATCCCAGCACTTTGAGAGGCTGAGGTGGGCAGATCACTTGAGGTCAGGAGTTGGAGACTAGACTGGCCAACATGGTAAACCCTCCTCTCTACTAAAAGTACAAAAATTAGCCAGGCATGGTGGCACACGCCTGTAGGCCCAGCTATGCAGGAGTCTGAGGCACAAGAATCACTTGAACCTGGAAGGTGGAGGTTTCAGTGAGCCAAGATCACACGACTACACTTCAGCCTGGGCTATGGAGTGAGACTCTGTCTCAAAAAATAAATAAGTAAATGAATGAAAATTAGTTTTTATGCCCTCAAATTAATCATGTTTTCTGATTATATGGCCTTATATTAAGTAGGAATTTCCAAGTATAAGGCAAGGTTAGAAAAGTCAGGTTAGTATCAGAGGGACAGAATAATTCAGTGAAAAAAGAACCTTAATCATAAATTGATGGAAGTTATGGTTTTATGAACTGATGGGCTTACCCCCTTGAAGCTGGGAGCTGAGTGTGGTGCAGTAGCCCTTCCTGCTGGACTGTAGAGGTTTTCTGTTTCCTGTTACAGATCCTCAACAATACATTTAACACAGTTAATCTCTATGGTTTTAAGGTAAGAGGCCAAGCCCATGGCTATTCTTTATGTTCAGTCTTTATCTTCATAGATAAGTTTTATGCACATTCTCACAAAATCATTTTTAAAATAGTTCTGATCCTTTCCCGGAAATTTCTCCTTCACTCTCCCCATGATGGTATGGCAGATTTCCCAGACCAGTCAAGTTCAATTCAGATGATAAACTGATAAGATTCATATTTCCCTGGGGAGGAAAGAAGAAGTGGACTACTACACCGTTAGAAAAAAGCTCTTTCAATATTTTATTAAACCATCTCTGGTACAGCCGCATTTTTGTCTCTTCAAATATTTAGAGAAGCTCAATTAGCTTTAGAAGGCAGTTTCGGAGAGCTCTCAGCTAGCTCCTGGCCTCAGACAGATGGCATCGGATGAGTGGAGTGTGGAGGCAGTCTACCCTCTAAATGAGGGCGAGGAGACGTGGAAGCTGCAAGCATGAGGACTCTTGGCAAGAACGTAGCTTGTGGCTGCCAAGAATTCGAAGGTCAGAGAAGAGGTTTAGAGATTTCACTGCCGTGGGAAGTTTCCCATCGTCTGCTTCCTAAATGCATTTTCTCACAAGTGTTCTAGCTGCAGAGTGCTAGCGTATAGCTATAGTATGTGGGGACTTTTGTCTCGGAGAGTCAGGCCTGAACCAGAAGTCAGTGGACCATCTGTTCTGGCTTTATCAGAAAGTTTGGATGAGGAAGCAGAGGAAAATTGTATCTGAAATCTTTCTAAAGTACCAGGCATTGCATTTCCAACATTGTTTTTTAAAACCCTGCAAGTTAGGTATGGTTTGTCCTTCTTTTGTTGTTCTTTTTAATTTTTTATTTTGACCTAATATTAGACTTACAAAAAGTTGCAAAAATAGTCCAGAGGTTTCCTGTTTGCCCCTCACTCAGCTGCTGCTGCTGTCAGCATTTTATATAATGTCGTTGAGTGATCAAAATCAGGAAATTAATGTTAGCACGATCCTATTAGACTACAAACCTTCTCCACATTTCATTGCTTTATCCATATTTTTCTTTCTGTTTTCTTTCTATTTAAAGATAGGAGCACCCAGGCATAAAGTAAACTTACCTCAGGATATAATTAGCCCAGATCTGATGCCAAAGCATGATTTTTTTTTTAACTACCCATGTTTGATGTAATATTTTGGAAAGCGCTTTCAACTCTAGGACTCTTCAGGAAATCGGAATTCTTTTCCTGGATCTGCCTTTATTAACTGCGCATCTGGACTCAAGTCATTTTTCTCTGGCTCTCAGCGTCCTCACATGTACTTTTATGGTCATTTTATTGATGTATTTATAAGACTCCATTTATGATTCTATCATGTAATTGGGTTTATCTCTTTGTACCCTGG